GGATGGGGGAAGATCAGAGCTCTAAATATGTTGTATATGTACATTCAGATAGGGTTCACAAGATACCACATAGTACATGCTGTAACTAGCCCAACACGGTCCCCCCAAGGTGCGGGAGGGTGGCCATGTTAGGTGGGGTGCATAATTGTAGCAAAAACGACTTGATATAAATTCTATCAAATATATTGTCAGGATTGTCAATAATGTCAATAATGCCAATAATGTCACATTTTCTCTAGGAAATCCAGTTTCAAAAACTGTAGAATACAAATAGGTAGAATAAAACAGAATAAAAAAACAGTAAAGAAAGAGAGAGAAAAAAAAAAAAAAAAAAAAAAAAGGTCTAAGTATAACTCCTCCGGATGCGAGATGCAGTGCATCAAAAACTTTTGGGGACTTTTTGGAACACATCAAATGCATAAACACACGCCAAACGAGGTCACGAAGAAAGTGGAAAGGAAAACCCAGCCCCAAGGGGGTGGGAACTACCCTTGCACAGGGCTCATGCAGAGTAGATCAGTTCTGTAAATGCTACAAAGCAAATGCAGAGGTCTCTATGAGGAAGTTAGCCTTTTGCAAGGAGAGAATCTCAAATCATAGAGTTCACAAGGGATCTTACCGTGATCCATTTATCCCTTATTGGTGTGGCAAGCATTGCACCGACAATGACCACAAATCTTGCAACGCCAAATGGCCACAAAGGGTCCCGAGTTGCAGTCGGAGCAGCGCCAAGTCAGGATGTTGCCATTAGTAGCCTGGACAATGGCGAAGACGTGACCGGAGCATTGGTTGGCCATGTTGATCAATTGACTTGGAAAAAAGCTGTATAGTTAGGATGTGGTTCCTTTAATGTTCACAACTCCCGAGACTTACATATTAAGCAAAACCCGGGGGACTGGAAACTGACGTCGATCACTTGGAGAAGCGGAGAAGGGTTCCAAGTACTTGGATTAGGGAAACCAATAGGATATAGGAAGAGGAGAAAGGGTTTCAGAGAGTTTGGGGAGCGAGTTTGCAAAGGGAAGTCGATAGTGAAGAGGAAGTGAAGATGAGACTCAGAAGCCCGGACGAATCAATCATTATATACTTCTCTAGAGACAACGGTAGGAATCCAAGATGCAACCAGTCCAGTCAACAACTCGAGAACTGAAAAATGCACACAGCCGATGACGCATGTAACCAGGATTGTTTGAATCCCTCAAGAGGAAAAAAAAAAAAAAAAAGGGAAGGAAAAGAAAAGAAAAGGAAAAAGAAAAAAACAAAAGCAGAATTTGAACGAATAAGTAAAGAAATAAACAGAAATGTGTTTATGTATAGAAATCCCAATGGATGATGTACCGAAATCGTATCTTGCATAGAAACTTAGGCGAGACTAGGTTGATCCTAGTTTAACAAAGAGACAATAGAGTCTTTGGTAGAGATCAGGGAGATCGGAGAGACATGATTGGAAGTCTCAACGCAGAGGACGATTCCCAGAAAGCCGGGGGGCAACCGGAAGAGACCCAGATGAATTATTAGTTTGAATTGCTTTTTTTTCAGTGTTGGGTTAATGTAGCAGATTGGGAATATAAAAAAGAAAATAAGGGAACTTAACTTAATTGGAAGTGAAGAAGACCCAGAAATAGGACAGAAGTGATAGGTATGATCCTATAACCCGACTATATAATGAGAAGTGGAGCTGAATATAGGACCCGAGACATGTCCTGTCCCGACGAGCTGGATTAAACTAAGATTCGGAGGTTTCTATGTAGCTAGTGGAGTATAGTACTTTTTCCCCCTATTTCTCTCTTTCGATCGGACCTTTGTATCCCAGTAATCCGGTTCCGATCGAGTGCATATTATATATAGGATGTACGAGGATATCCCGTTATATACATCCACAGAATGAAGCATTATATCCTACTATGTCCTATTGTATTTATTTATTATATCCTTTTTTATCCATTTACCTTATTCTTTTAGAAGAAACCCCCTGAAAGTCCCAATATCAACTTTTGATACATCAACTTCGCCAGGCGCTTAGACCGAAGGGAGATCCACATAATGCTCCTCTTGTCATTTGTACTATTTCAGATTTCAGCCATTTCAATTCCAGTTTCAGTTTTAGAACAATTGCAACCAATTCAACTATTTACCTCTCAGCTGGTCACATCAAGTGACAAATTCGTTTGGGATATACCGGCATTAGTGCAGTGCCGGGTTGGCGCTTGCATGGCCCAATTGCTTATTGAATAGCCGCAGTGCCCTAGAAAAAAACAAAAAACAAAACAGAAAAACAAAAGAAAAAGAAAATGGAATTGCTGAGTCTTTCGTTTAGGATGTTCCCTGTCACATCCGTAAATCCATATGTTTGTTTGGGAATTCTTCCACAGTCTACCCAAGCCCTTTCTCCAGCGACTGGATGGGGCAGTTCCAGTTCTTTTTCTCATTGTACAAGAGTACAAGAGTACAAGAGTATGAGGTGAGTACAGAGTACCAAGAAGCACGGAGAGGAAAGCCCAATTGGGGTGACACAACGGTAGGTTTCTCTCTAGGTAGGGTCGAGCCCTCTCGGCAACTATCAACTTAAAAGGGGGATTCAAACCCTACCAAAGGGGCATGGGCAGGCATTCAACGGAGAAAGACTACACTTCCGAGGGGTTTGCAGGGAATGCTTGAGTTGATCTTAGGTCCACCTGTGTCACCTGAAGATTGCAAATTGGGCCAGCCATAGCCGTTCGAGATCTGTTTGGGAGATGAGATGGCTATACTTAGAGACCTTAGGAACCAATTGATCACGCCAAGTGACCTAGAACATTAGGAAAGGTGGGAACTCAGCTCCAACTATCTCACGGTCGATCAATGGAAACGTGCACACCGACACTCCCATATTGGAAGCATGTACGGAGTACCCCGTAGATCCCTCTACTCCCGTGATGGACACACTCTGGACTCGGCGATCACCAGACCACCACCGAATCACAAACCAGCTTCCAGAATCATTCACGGTCAACTGCATCGGTGTGACGGAAATGAAGTCAACATGACAGGAAAATCGAGATTGTTGGAAAGGAAATCCTCGGCACTGTCAGATGTCTACTGTCTCTACCTACGGAGTACGGAGTACCGGGGAAGTTTGTATGCATAATCGAGCAGAATGAAAATGTCAAATGCGTACATTGTTTGCTATTCCAATTACTTCATGTTCGAGATCGCCTCTTGCACCACTTCCACGACCGCAAGGTCAATCATTCCGAAGAACTGAGAAAGAGGTAACATCTCCATGTTGTAGACTCCAAAGAGAACACAGCATGAAGTAAGAAAACAAGATCCGATTTAATCTGCCAACGCTCCGTTAAGAACACCTTGTGGAAAACGAGATGCTCCTGCAGAACCCAGAGTGGACTGCATCGCTGGTTTGAGGGGTCATGAGATGATCACTTTACAAGGCCGAGAACGGTAGAGGGGCAACAGGAAGGACAACTGGGGAACAAGGAAGGGGGAAAGCTCCAGAAGGGGTCGTTCATTTGATAGGAAATAGGTATCATGTCATCAACGGTTGCAGGGGAACCTGCACATCAGTAAGCAAAAACGCCCTAGAGAAAGTATCTAGGTCTCTTTCTGCTTGTTTCGTTATTTTTTTTTTTTTTTCCTCATTACTGCCATATGCCTCATCAGTCGTTAAGGTGGAAGAGAGCCGAGACGCTGCTCGTTGTTAGTAGATGGTCACACGACACCAGGGTCGGTGAAAACAAACCTTTCGCCATAATGGTGCCTCCGGATGCTCTCTGCTAATAGACTCGATACGTCAATGACAATCAACTTTTTGGATCTCCGCAACATCGACGGTGAGATCGGGAAAGTGTTGGTCACGACAATGTGGTCGATTGAGCGACAAGCTTCCATCTGATCCAAGGAGTTCTCCCCGAACAATCCGTGGGTGGCAATACAGTAAACCTTGTTGGCCCCACCGCGCTTGACGACAGTCTCGGCAGCCGCGATCCACGACCCGCTCTTGTCAATCATGTCATCGACAAGGAAGACAGATCGATCACGCACCTCACCCACCAGCGTGATGGTCCTTTCATCGGCATGGCCGCCACAGACACTAGCTTCGTCGTCAGACTCCACTGCATCAAATGAGCCACCAAGCGCATGGTCAGGAGGCTGCGATGAAGCGTTGGAGATCATGGAGTTAACCATATAATCAGGAATAGCCTCTGTGTTGTCATGGCTGCTGCTGCCACCTCCCGGTGTGGTGCCGCCAGACTGTGGCTCCTCATTGATACGATAATCATCATCAACCAATTGACCTTGGACCAGGCGACCGGTGATCACATCCCGCACACGCACATCCGTGTATTCATATGCTGCTTCCAGCTCCGATGGGCGGCGAGCTGCAGGTGGGGTTTCCGGGCGCAGAAGATACTGCGCAGGAGGGGGAGTGACTGGCTCCGGCTCTTCCGGAATGGGAGGTGTAGCAGGTGTCCTGTTAGAACTGTGCATATGAAGCTCAAAAGGCCGTGCTTCCTTGGTTGACATAGAATCTTCATCCACGGCATCGAAGAAGACTGTGCTATCGGACATAGTGGCTACGGGGACCTTCGGACGCCGACGATCCGTCGTCACGATACCGAAGTTGAGCTTCAAAGTATCAGCCAGCGAGGTGACTCGCTTGGTTCCGCCAGCATTCTTGCTAACCACCACGGCGTCTCTCCAGCCGGGAACATTCATCCGGAGCCAGCGGGCAATGAAGGGTTCGGCAAAGAGGTTGTCGACCGGCTTTCCGAAGAATCCTTGCATCTGGGATGCCTAGGAGCCCATCAATATCCATATTACAAAACTCAACATCGCATAGAAACATACGTGCAGGTCCATGGTGATCACATGGTCCACGCCAGCGATCGTCAGGAGATTGGCAAGCATGCGGGCCGTGATGGCACCACGATGACTCTTCTTCTTGGATTGGCGCGAGTATGGGAAATATCTCATTTGAGAGTCAGCATTGTATGTGGTTTGAGTCAAACAGGACGGGCAGCATACGGCATGACCGCTAGAGAAACGAGTTAGTGGGGTAAGCTTTTGTATCTGGGGTCATCGGCAACATACCTGTAATGGACTTCGCTGAGCCACCCTTGCACGCTGAGATCATGATCAGGAGCTCCATAACACTATCGTTAATCTTCTCGCTACCACTTTGGATGATGTAAACGTCCTGGTTCCGCACTGAGGTACCGATATTGACACTGGTCTCGCCATTGGCAAATTTTCCTAAGTTAGCTTTGGCAGGCACAGTGCCTAAACGCTCGCAGATAGTATCTGCGAGACCGGGGTGGGAATTCCCCGAAAATATCTGGACGCCCCGCATGATTTAAGAAAAAGACATGAGTGACGTGAAAGGAAGAGAAAAAAGAAAAAGAGAAAAAGTTCGGAAGGGAAAAGCTCGGGAATACTGCGGGGATGGTTTGTGTCGCCCACCGTACAAGTTTTCTCTATCGGTGGGCCGATAAACGGGGGGAAGTTGCATCATTCCCACATCCCACCATGTCAAAGTTCCCAGAAGTACAAGGTGGAGGGTCATTGATACTCGCTTGGCAAATTAAAGACAAGCATGTGCTAGTCGTAGGTGGTGGAGAGGTACGTGATTGATATTGATAATAGCTATGTTATATTTTTTTTTTTCGTTTTCTTTTAGGCTGGAGACTGATCTATATATATTTGCTAGGTTGCTGCAGGACGCATCCTCCACGCTCTCAATGCCGATGCCCTAGTCACTGTGGTCTGTCCAGCCGCTGGACTAAACGAAGAAGTGGCGTTCAGGGTGGCAGAAAAGCAAGTCACACACGTTGATCGAAACTTTGAGCCATCCGATCTCGATAATGTGGACATGGTGCTCTGTGCTATCGACGACCCGGAGGCTTCAACACAGGTCTGGAAGCTCTGCAAGGAGAGGCGAATTACTGCCAACATCGCTGATGTCCCGCTTGAATGTGATTTCTATTTTGGGAGTGTTCACCGCGATGGGCCATTGCAGGTCATGGTCAGCACAAATGGGAACGGGCCCAAGCTGGCCAGTATTGTGCGGAAAAAGATCGCGGAGACTTTGCCAGCGAACATGGGGGCAGCTATTGAGAATGTGGGAAAGCTTCGGAAGAAGCTCCGGGAGGTTGCGCCGAATCCTGACCAAGGCCCTAAGAGAATGAAATGGTGGGTTACAATATTTCGGTTCCTCTTCAATGATAAAGTGTGAGCTAATGATCATAGGATGTCTGGTGTCTGCGAGACATGGAGCCTCGATGAGCTTGTACAGATGACCGAAAAGGACATGGACAGCATATTATCCTTCTATGAGTCGGGGAAGATCCCAACTTCAGAGGAAGTACAAAATAAGTAAAAAAAGAACAAATCAAGAAATATTTTATCTTATCAATACAGCAGCTATGCATCTCTAAAGTAGAACAAAATGCTCGTGTGACAACACAAGACCCCGAAGAGTCGGGTTATAAAACGCCGAAAATCAAGCCCGCGGCGAGGATATCCAAAAAAATCATGCAGTAAGTCAGACCTGGCTATCGCGGCGCGAGGCTTTTTGGGAGACGGAGCTGCGCGGGCTAATAGGGACGTCCAGGGGATTGGGCGGAGCAATGCCCAGTCGGACCTCACCGATCCGGCGCAGTAGAGACTGAAGGGCAACGCGAATCTCCGGGTTGAGATCCCGGCTCAGAAGCTCAACTCCAAGCGGGTAAAAGGTCTCAATATGCTTATTAAAGTCATCTTGCGGGAAGTTGGTATATCCGTCAATGACATCGACCACCACCGGACGCCAAGCGACGATGTTGCGGTGCTGGGTGTCTTCTTCAAGGCGGACGAAACTGCGAATAATGTCCGCGCAAAGCCTAGTGGAATTAGCAATGAACAGGAAGGGAGAGGAAAAACCAGGGAGAATTAACTTACGGAATGAGTGCAGCCTCAGTCTCTGCGCGACTGCTCTGTCTTTCCTCTCGCTCGTCGTGATACATTCGGAAAAGAATATGCACGTAGGTAGAGGCACTGCCGCTCTCCTGCTTCAATAGATTAGGAGGTTGCTTCATGAATCCCTGGCGCCAGAGTTGCATCCGCAAGTCTTTATCCTCGTTGAACTTCTTCGCGAACTGGTAACTCTTTTTCAGCAGCCCCATGAGTCGAAGAAGCTCAACACTTGGGATCTGTGCGTAGACAGTTTCATTCGAGAAAAGTTCGTGGACAGTTTCAATCATGAGGAGCTGCAGAACACAGTTCGTGATTATGCGGTTGAAGTAACGACGCCGCGCTGCAGTGACAGCTGCAGGTTGCTGCTGGTCTGACTGAGGGCGATAGTCCTCTAATTCAGCGCGCGCTTCACTTTGGACAGGAGGATCTCCACTTTCATGGAGAGAAGATGCGCTTTGGGATCCGTTGGGCTCCAACGCATCAGGCAAATCTGTTGTTGCTACAGCAGCATCTGGAGACTGCGTGAGGTCCCCATTAACTGCCTCTGCTGGCTTAGACATCGATACAGCAGCCGTGAAAAGTTCATAAGCTGTCGTTTTGCTGAAGAGCTCCACGAAGGCTCCAACAATCTGGGACCAGTGCTCCTGTTTGAACTTTGCAACATTTTGCAAAATCAGCTGTTGCAGGCAGTTGCTGCCAATTCGTGCAATCGTGTCATTTTCTTGACAAATGCATAATGTCAACAGTTCCAAGAATCGGCTCAGCATGTACTCCAAAGCATCAAAATAGTGCGTGAACAGGGTAATCATGTTCCGTAGCGCCTGGATCATTGTCGTGGAGAGCCAAACTGAAAGGTCTTCGTGGTTTGGAACTTTAGACATTTCAGATTTAGACTGCAGGACCACGAAAATCGGGTAGAGAAGCTGTCTCCAGAGGACATCCCAAAAGTCCCTTGGGAAATCGCCACCGTGCCGGATTAGCGTATCGAAGAGGTATGTGAGTGCCCGTGAGCGGACCTCAAGATCATCTCCTGTCATAAGTACATCCTGGAATGCAATGAGAATCGGATACCAGAACTGCTCCTCTTGTGATTGACGGGTAAGTTGTTTAGCAAGATTGGTTCCATTGTCCTGGAAGGTGGCCGCTGAGGCACCGCGGTGTGACAGGGGACATTCTGGGGACCGTAGCATCTTGGTGACGGTAGACCTTAGGGTCTCAATTGCCTGCAGCGATTTCTTTTGGAACTTGGAGTTCTTTGAGAATTCAGTCAGACATACAATGAGATCTGCAAAGGCACCCTGGGTGATCACTATGCCAAATCTAGTGTTATAGACCTGGGTGACATGGTCAAAGGCCATGTTCACGATTCCCTCTGTTTGATGCGTTAGCGAGAGCGACAAAGTAATTTGAGCAGTGAGGCTTACCATAGGGTTCCCGTGCTGCGACTGTGAAGACACCAAACATGGTCTTCCATCCCGAACGGATATTGTCACCACGGGCCTGAATCATCTGGATCAGACACCGCAGAATCATGTCCTTGACAGCGGCAGTGGTGCTGTTTGCCATCACGTGCTCGAATGGCTTGAGGAAGTCCTTTTGGAACTTAAAGCCAGGCAACTCCTCGATTTCCATGAAGCGCATCGAAAGTTGCCGAAGCGAATCCAAGGCAAAGAAGACAACCATGGTATTAGAGTGGCAGCCAACTTGATTAAAGTGCTGACCCAAGACGTCCCAGATCTTAGACCACTCAATTCTGACACGAGTCATGTTGTAGTAACTGATCTCGACGAGCTTCTGCAAACTGTATGTTCGGGGCGAATCGGTGTGACCGGAAGATTGAATTTCTTGCCAGCTGACCTCGCTCAAGGCCCGAACGAAGTCGATAATGGCTTCATGCGACAGATTGGCGGTATTGGTGAAGATACGGTCCACGCCACGTATCATATCTGCCGAACGGCTCTCCATGGCAATTTCTGGACGGAAAGCAGTTGGCCCATTCACAGAACGAGGGCGAGCGCGTCGTGTACTTTGCATAGATCTGCGGGAGGTATCTGCTGATGAGGGTGCTCTTGAAACATCGGGCAGCGACCCCTCATCAACACCATCACTCAAGAGTTGGAGCCGATCCAGTTGACTGACACATGTCAAAACATCCCGCCACGAGCTCTGGAGGTGGTTGCCCTCAGTGAATGCGATGTCGAGCAAGGCTTTCAGGGCCTCGACATTTTTGGCCATCATCTCCCTCACGTTTCCGAGGTTAGTGAACTTCGCCAAGGCAGTCACAAATGCCACGCGAGGAGTTTCTAGGTCGAAGGCACAGCTGATCCGGATGGACAGTTTGAGTCCCTCCATGCAGAGCCGGATGGTTTCCAGGTTCGACGTGTCCTGCATCGGCGCAGACAGACCAGATAGGAAAGACATCCACGTGACATTGAACATTGACCCAACATGACGATCTGATGTTGCGGGAATGAAGTGCGAAAGCGCATCTTTAACTGCTGTCTTGCGTTGAGCTCGAATGAGGGAACGATAGAGTTGTTCCGTCTTGTTTGCCATTTCCTCAGAAGCCTGTGCGTATTTCTCCCCCTGGATGTCTCGTCCAACGGTAGCAAATACCTGTCCGGCTCTGGTGGCAAGGCCAGTGGGAGCTGGGGGTTGGGGGTTGAGGTTGGCAGCATGTTCCTGCTCGGTGTATAGCACGATTTCGTTGCTCCCAATCTCCTCATAAATCGCTCCCAGATAGTCAGATGGCAGGTCTTGGTTGTCATTGATCCCGCGGTTGTTCTTGATGAAGTCCTCCTTGGTCATACGGCGGCCCTTCATTTTCGAACTGTGCTGATCTGTGTTAAGTAGAATCACCGAGTACGCAAGCACATATGCGGTGTCAGCGTTGGCGAAGGCATTGGGGTTTTGAGTTGTATACCGTTCCGCAAACTTCAGCATAAACCGATCGATCTTTTGGGCTTCACCGGGCAGGCGGAAATGCTGCAAAAACGAGCGCAGGGATTCAACGAAGCGTCGCTTCGTAAATTCCATCAGATCAACAAAAGCATGCATAATGGCAATGTTTTCCGGCTCTCCCTCACCAAGATACTCTCCCAGCGTGGCCTTGTCAATGCGGTCTGTGCGAAGCATGAAGCTGGCAATCTCTTCAGGAGACTCAGATTTGATGAAGCCTTCTTTTAGGAAGGCCTTGATGCCACGCTTGGGCTTGAAATTGAATTGTTGGACGGCATTTGTGAGAGCAATCTTTCGTTGTTTGACTTTTTCAATCTGGTTTGGATCGTCTTCTGGCATAGGTGTGGATCGGCCAGTCCCATTCTCGAAGGACTCAGGATGCGGTGAAACAAGCACGCTTGTGTCCAAGGACTCACGGGAGTTGTCCATCGATTTGGAGGGGATGGCTGCCTCGGGCTGCTCATCAATTCGATGTGTGGCCCAGTTGTCCAGTGAGCGCAGTATCTCCACAAGACATTCCAGACCCTGCTGCTTCAATCCGTACTCCGATGGGATGTGAGGCATTGAGGGCGGCGGAGTAGGGATAATGTGGGCACTTGTCAACGAAGGAGGGAGAGTTCCTCGGTGGTGCCACTCAGAACCAACAGATGACATTTTAGTGTGCTGTTCTTGGTACTGATGCTGCTGAGAAGATGATGTTACAACCGGCACACTCGAGTACCGCGACAATTGCTCAATGATACTAAGAAGATTAGTTCATGTCGAAGAAGACCAATATTTCAGTAATACGTACTTTTGGAATATATTCTCCAGCGCAGTTCTGTCACAGTCATAGTTGAGATAGATTTCAACCAGAGCGCGTGGATCACCACCTAGCCTCTCCAGGATCTCCATGAAGTACTGCTTTTGGAATGCAGGAGCCCCGCGCTTCTCAAGGATAGCCAGATAAATTTCTTTCAAGAACACTTCGAGTTCCTTTTTCATCATAACTCGCATGTCCTTCAACATCAGCCAGAAAATTTCACAGCAAACTTTGAAGACATGAGGAACGGCGCTCGAGCCATTGCGACTTAGACTTAGGCACAAATGGGGCCGTACAGCTAGAAGAAGATTCATTCCATCGACGCTGGATGAGCTGTTCTTGATTGCTGCTAGAGGGGATATAAAGGTGGCGGTGTGGTTGTTGATGAGATAATGGATCAAGTGCAGCGAAAGTAGCTTCGACCTCATGTTCTGGGATTTGACATCTTGCTGCTGCTCGTGAGTCAAGACTTTATGGCTCAACTTGCAGAGCGCTCGGAAAACCAAAAAGGCATCCTTGACATAAATCTCGTCCACGTCGTCCTCAGCCGAGCTATCATCGTCTCTCTCCTCGGGAATGCCCGACATTGACCTCGTCGCTGACCGCTTAGCGCGCGTGACTGTAGTCGGCGCATTGTCATTAACTGTGGTAACTTCCTTAGGCGACTCGAAACTCTGTAAGGTGAGCTTCTCGGCAGTGTGCTCTTTGGTTACGGGCTGATCGGCCACAGACATGGAAGCCGCCTCCGAGGTTTGACCCACATCACTCGCCGATGCATCGAGAGTGGAAGATGGCTTTTCCAGCTCTCGCACTCGGAGCTCTTTGAGGTCCATCCGTGTCCGCACTCGATCAAAGACCGTGCTAACCATTTGTGTGAGCGACCCCTGAGCGATCTGTTGGTTTTGACTGGACTTGGAGTAGATAAAGATGTTGTAAATTTGGCGGACGGCTTTCAGGAGACCAGCTCCATGCACTACAATCTTATCGTTCAGGACCGCTGCCAACAGCGATTTGATGATCTGCTGTTGGATTTCAACCGCAGTGGCTTCATTCTCGAAGCAGTCGCAGATCGCATCGATAGCACGCTCGATAAGTGGAGGTCGTTCGTGGGTGGCATTGTTCTCTGTCTCGGCGGATGGGAATGCGAAATAGGAGTACGTGATCAGCTTTCCAATGCAGTCCAATGCAGTTACCTGCAGAGGAATGCTGAGGGCTTTGCTTGCTAGATGCAGAGGACGGAAGATAAGCTCCGGATCAATTGCTTGCCCATCGGGTTGTTTGATATTAGTCAGGGCCACCTGTGTGGCATCCTCTAGCTTTTTGTCCCTCCGGGCGTCCCGCGAAGCAGCAATGTTGTCCAGAGCCGTGACAATAAATACTGTCGAGCTAACCGGGCTAGATCGCTGCGTCATAAATGTGGCAGTTGTTGACCGCGAGTCTGATCGCAGCCTGTTTTCTATCGCATCGTTGTCCTCCCGGGGGGGTTCCTGAATCGTGGGCGGACCATTTGTTTGGGGTTCTTGTTCAGTCTGTTCAGGCTCGTCCTTGGGCGGCATGTCTGGTTTTTCTTCATCTTCCTGGCCCTCGGCTACTTCCTCGTCGCCCTTCTGGTTCGGTTCTTGTGATTCGGTCTGATCGGGCAGTGTTGGCTCGTCGGAGTTTGTTACTGTAGGAGGTACGTCGGGGATCTCGACGGGTTTCTCAGGCATTTCAATGGATTGAGTCGGCTCAGAGCCGAGTTCGGTGTCCGCCATGGTCAAGGAGACTCCGGGCGGAGTGATCTAATTAGATCAGAAACATCGAACGAGCAAACGTGGGGAAGCTTGAAACGATCGCGATGACATGTAAGGACGGGGGCTGCGTGTCTTCTCCGAATCGGGACTAATGCATGCTTACCTCAGCCAAGGATTGGAGATTCCATAGGCTCTCACCGCCCTCTTTTGCGTCGCAGAATGCTGATTGTCCGGTTCTGTAAACCTATGTATGCCTGTACTATCTATCTTACATATGTATTATGTGCCCTTTATAGTTGAAAGAAATGCAGGGACACCCAAGTCAAAATAATTATCTTCATAAAAATCTACCTTAAGTACGTATTTCCTTGATCTAACTTCCTTTTAAATGCTTTCCAATGTCCTTCTTATGGGTATAGTAAAGGCGGTGAGACATACACTGGCCCCTAAAAACAATAATACACGTACCCGGAGCTTGAGACTGTAAATTACAACACGTGACTATATCGGAAGAGGCCGCTGCCGCTCCTCTCACCGGGAGCCACAGGTAGCTCAACAGAAAAGTTCGTGATTTAGAGGCATCTCCTTCCACCCCAACCTTATCCATTCTCGGCCCTTCACGTTTCCTTTGTGCCGGGCTCTTCTTATCTCCTCATCTCAGCGTTAAGGGCCTTTATTCCTTTCTTTTTTATAATCACAACAAATCTCAGACACCATGGTTGCGTCAGCTATTCGGATGCGCACCCCGAGCGCCATGTTCATGTCCAGAGGTGCCGCCGCTATGCGCCGGCCCCAGGTCTCCTCTAAGCTCCAGGAGGTGATCCAGTATGTTCCACTAATACCAATTGTGATTGCGGGTTGATGCTAATGATGTTTCCACTAGGACCCAGGTGCCTGCGCTCTCTGCCCTTTCCCGCTTCTATGCCTCGAAGTGTATGACAATTGATTTACTCCTTTCTCTCACACACCAATTCTAACATGTCTATCCATAGCTTTCCCTCCCCACACACTCATCAGCATGCCGGCTCTTTCGCCGACAATGACCGCCGGAAACATCGGCGTGTGGCAGAAGAATGCCGGAGATGTCCTCCAGCCCGGTGATGTCCTGGTAGAAATCGAAACCGACAAGGCACAGATGGATTTTGAGTTCCAGGATGAGGGTGTCCTCGCCAAGGTTCTGAAGGAGAGCGGCGAGAAGGATATCGCTGTTGGCCAGGTAAGAAATTTCCCAGTTTTCTCCGTGGGGAGTGATTCGTCAATCTAACTTGCTTTCCTGATATAGCCCATTGCCGTCCTTGTTGAGGAGGGTGCCGATGTCTCTGCCTTCGAGTCTTTCACCCTGGCTGATGCCGGTGGTGACAAGCCTGCCCCCGCTGAGCAGAAGGAGGAGCCTAAGAGCGCTGAGCCCTCGGCTCCTGCCCCTGCTGAGGAGGCACCCGCCGCCCAAGAGCCCGAGACCTCTGGCGAGAAGCTCCAGCCCAGCATTGACCGTGAGCCCTCTATCAGCCCCGCCGCTAAGGTCTTGGCCCTCGAGAAGGGTGTGTCCATCAAGGGCCTTAAGGGTACCGGTCGTGGTGGTGTCATCACCAAGGAGGACGTTGAGAAGGCCAAGCCCGCCACCACTACTGTCTCCGGCGAGGCTTCTTTCGAGGAAATCCCCGTCAGCTCGATGCGCAAGACCATTGCCAACCGTCTGAAGCAGTCCATGGCCGAGAACCCTCACTACTTTGTCTCCACCACTCTCTCGGTTACCAAGCTTCTGAAGCTTCGCCAGGCCCTTAACGCTTCCGCTGAGGGTCAGTACAAGCTTTCTGTCAACGACTTCCTGGTCAAGGCATGCGCTGTTGCCCTTATGAAGGTCCCCCAGGTTAACTCCAGCTGGCGCGAGGAGAACGGCCAGGCCGTGATCCGTCAGCACCACACCGCTGACATCAGCGTCGCTGTGTCCACCCCCTCCGGTCTGATCACCCCCGTCGTCAAGAACGTTCAGGGTCTCGGTCTCTCCAGCATCTCCAAGCAGATCAAGGACCTTGGCAAGCGTGCTCGCGATAACAAGCTTAAGCCCGAGGAGTACCAGGGCGGCACTTTCACCATCTCCAACATGGGCATGAACGCTGCTGTCGAGCGCTTCACCGCTGTCATCAACCCCCCGCAGGCCGGTATCCTGGCTGTTGGCACCACCCGCAAGGTCGCTATTCCCGTCGAGACCGAGGAGGGCACCGTTACCGAGTGGGACGATCAGATCGTCGTGACTGGTAGCTTCGACCACAAGGTGGTTGACGGCGCCGTTGGTGGTGAATGGATCAAGGAGCTGAAGAAGGTCGTCGAGAACCCTCTGGAGCTTCTGCTGTAAACAGCAAAGCTCTTTTGTTCTGACTTATCTGTAATCTGTATTAAAACACCTTGCCTCCCCCATTAGACCCTTACATAGGTCCCATTTGTTTTTGATCTCTTTAGCAGCTTTAAATCCTCTCAATGGAATTTTCCTCGACTTATTCTACATCGGTTTTAGTGTTTTTGGTGCAGTTGTTGGGAATACCTGATAACGTAGGTGGCTGAAGCCTCAGGTCAGGACCATTTCTAACGTAAGATATACTAAATGACTAAGTTATCATTTGAACTAACTATTTCAATAGAAGAATATCTTAGAATATATTCAAGGTCATATATACATGTACTAGCATACAGTTATGAATCAACATCTCTGCGGAAATTAACCCCATGGAACCTTGGTAGTGGGCCCAGGTCAATGACGTGATGTCACACCCCCCAGCTTCCTTGGTATAAATCCTTCCTTTTCCCCTCGGACTCTTTTCATTCCCACATCTCGTTTCTGGTAAGTTTATATCTCCTCCTGTTATAGGTGTTCTACCTAGATAGGTGTCTTAGGTGCTGACCAGGATTTCCCCAGGACCGTTACCTTCTAATAACCTCACGCGCACCACCATGTCTTACGCCGACGCAGCTGCAAAGGGCCCCAAGCAGTCCCCTGAGGACGTAAGTATTCAAGTTCCTGTGTCTAAATTACAGTACTAACAAATCACAGGCGTGAGTTATCTATAGTGTCAAATATCCCTTACACACAACTAACATATACTCCAGCCGCGCTCCCCCTGTGGGCGGAGTCTATCACGATGAATCTGAGAGCACGGCATCGTTGATCGACGTTGACAGCCCCCATGTGCAGACTGTGGAGTCTGGCTTTCTCAAGCAAGATGTTCAAACCACCACCCAAGCGGAGCGGATAGAGCGCGAAGCCGAGGAGAAGCACGAGGACGAGGAAAAGAAGAAGGCCAAGGCCCACAAGGTGAAGAGCAGTGGCATCTATGAAAACGCTAGCAACCCTGTCTTCCTTGCCAATGCCGCTATCGCAACTGTGGTCGGCGCAGGCCTCGGCTTCGGTGCCTACAAGCAACACGCGCGGGGCAACCTCTCCTGGGAGCTGGTCGGACTATCTGCCGGTGCTGTTGGGATCTTTGGTGCGGTGGACTACTTCGTCAGCAAGTAAGTTCTGCGTGTATTTCCGCGGCGGTAAGTATGGCGATGATGCTAATCCATGGCCTAGGTGGTTCCTGCAGAACAAGTTCCCCCCAAATAGATGTGCAGCGTTTCATCTCTTTCTTTCTGGTGTTGCGTAATTGCTTTATTCTTGATATACCATCCCAGCTCTTCTGCAGTTTTGCATTTGGTTCATTTGGCGGAAATGGAGTCGGATTGGATTGACTGTACCAGTACCTTAACGACGATATCATATTCCTTTTTGAATTTAGAACTACTCTATTAGGCTCCTAGGAGTTATTAAAGTCTTTACTAGTGATTTGCATCCTTTTCGTCGTCTATTTAGCGTAAAACAATGACAATTGCTTATAGAAACCTTTTGGTATATGTAATTATTACGAGAGAAGCGGTTCTCTGCCGCTATACCCTACCGATCTTTCTCTACTACTCCGTGTCCTAGGACGTATCGTAAATCTCCAAGCAGACTTGTCCAATTTCCCTAGCACCGGTAGTTCTCCAGACCCTGATTAGGAAATCGTAGAAAAAGTATTCCTAGGAGCAACTGTATCTCCGAGTAGATTCACTCAATATCCATAGCACTAGTAGTCCCCCGAAACCTGGTTAGCAGAGTACTCCCAAATAGGCGGCCAAGTTGCAGGCCCCATTAGACTGTCGCACGACCCAGTAAACCCTGGACCTAAACCGGACCTAAACCCGCGGATTAGGTCCGGTTTCGCGTCTATACTAGACCTTACCAACTCTGTAGGACCAAAAAAGTTTTAGTAAAAAGAAATGAAGCTTTTACAATTGGGAATTGGAATTATTCCAGATAATTGTATATACGGAGCTTTCCTTGTAGGATACTCGGCTAACCCCAGCAAATTAGCCCTACAGATATGATTTAATAAAGGCATTAATATAGGGGCACTATTACGGGGAATTAATATGGGGGCCGAGCACGGAGTAGACAGGGCCCATGGATTACTGCCGTCCCTGATTAGGCAAAGTGAGACCGTTGGGTCAATTTCGAGACCTTCTTTGGCACCGGCCGTTCGAATTAGCATTCCCTATCACTATTCGTTATTATTTCAAATCTGCCAGGCCGCGATCAGTTCACCTTCCCTGGATAGAAGCTTGTTCGGCACTTGGACTTCATCTCGATCTGCAAGAACTAAAAATCCCCAAAATGCTGTGGCTCCGTAATATTTGCTGGCCAGTGATATCTCGACTGTCGGGAAGATGTGGTCCACTGTCTGCGACTTTCAATCTGAATGCGCTAGAGATCCCGAAGATGAATACGCTAGCCGGTCTCCCGGTCGAGCTATTATTATCAATAGCCGACTTCCTCCCGATGGATGATTGGATTTGCATATCACTCTGCAATCACCGACTCTTCGCCATATTCAACCGTCGATACAATTCCGCCCGGCCGTTGCGAAAGATGAAACTACCTGTTTTGCGCCGACTGGAACGAGATCTACCGGAATATTTCATCTGCTATGTTTGTTTCATCCTTCATAAGTATGACGGCTCGGAATGCTTTGGTCTATCTGGTCCAATGGCCGACGACAGTTGTCCTCTCCTGTGTCTCAGAACGGCTCCCCTTGGATTAGAATTAAACGAAAGATCCTTCTACTGGCGCTATATATACCGCAGATTCTATTTTCTACATCTTCAGCTTGTTATGCGGAGGTTCTATCTAGGAGAACAGTATGGAATCAGCACTAACGCGTTATCTTATACCCAAGTCCGAATTCACCCCGAAAAATCATCGTGCCCTGAAATCACCTCTCTCTTTTCGACTGACGCACAGATCTGTTCAGAGACGCCGGGGCTTTGTTTAAGAATGCAGAATGTCATATTTGTTCATAATAGCAGATCGGAACTACTGCTATATGGAAATGATAACGAATCTATATGGAAATCTCCACGGGCTATATTTATTTGCATGCACGTTGGGATTTTGCGGCAAGCCGAACTACTAAAAACCGTGTTATTCACCTATCTCAATGGAGAGAAACATCCCTGTTTCACTGGTACCTGTAACCAATGCAATACAGATATCCGCATTGAAGTCTGTGGATATGGTTCTCATTTAGCCCTAGTGCTTACAACGTGGATTAATCTTGGCGCTGGTTTGACGCCCGAGGACCCTCGATGGAAAATCCATAGTTGTGAGAATTGGGGTGTGACCCTTGATCCAAATGATCGTACAGGCAGTCCACGGGTCTCTTTTGAGAATGCGTCGCCTCAGTCGTTGGGGGAATTGCTGTCAAGAAACCTTTCTTACCTCAAGGACCGGCGATACAGAAAGTTTATGCGTCCACTTTCTCAACATTATCGAGGTCAGGGCCTCTGGTACTTACCAAGTTTACCAAGTGAAAAATATTCTTGAGGTCCGGTCCATGTCCTGAGGCTTTGTTGTCGAGGGCCAGCTACTGGAGTCTGCTTCTTTGGCTCTTGCCTACTTCCACTCCAAGGCGTCCTTCCCGCAGAAGACTCGCAGATACATTGACCTAATCCTTTAGCCCGACTTCATCAAGTTTTTTAATTACAAGTTCTTTAATCACAAGTTCTCTAATCTCAAAATGGCGTCTTCTCCAAGCCAATTTCCTCTTTTCGCAACACAGATTGCTTCTGTTGTGACCTGGATCGGTATAGCAACTTTTTCCGTCCTCGCCTTTCTGTCCTTCAAATCTATCATTGGAGTAACCTTTCGCTCGCTTCCTGCAGCTCGGAAGCTGTCTTTTGGAATTCTGCTCGTCGCTGTTCAATTTGGATTCTTCGTAAGTCACAACTACACCCTACGTGTCTGAGCAAGACGCCTCGATGTACGGCTAGACGCTAAGTGTACATAGTTGCTTATCCAGAACCTGTTTCCAACCTTTTTTAGTTGCCCGACGGAGTCTGCGGGTATGTTATAGGTCCCAAGCCGGGAAAACACCTTAATAATGAAACTTTAGTGTTTACCAAGCGTGACCAAGGCTCTTCAGCAGCATCCCCGCATTGGAGTACACACCTCTATGGTGTGTCTGGGATTATATGGGGCTTACATAGCCTCTGTATGCAAGAAGCGACCTATTGGTTCAATAGCGCCAAGTGGGAGGAAGAGAAGAAAGAAAAGGCTGCAAGAGCGGCTGCAAAAGAGAAATCCGACAGCCATATGAGAGCGCTAGAGGTCGAGTACAACGCCTCCACCGAGAGGATCGAAATTTTGGAAGAGGCAAATTCTACCATTGCGCGCGAAGCCACTGCGCTCCGACGTGCCGTTTTCAGAAGGCCCTAGGCGCAGAAAGATTGATCACATCGATGTCTTCGAGTTTGATACCAGGGAGGTTACATAATATAGCAGAGACCTGTGTTAGCCTGCGTCAAGTAATTGTATAAAATAGAAAACGAGAGAGAGAGCATTAGCTCTATTTGACGGCAGAGACATATATATCCCCTTTTAGAAGACGAAGGCCAGCGGGCGAATTAAAGAGGCTGTCGACGAACTATGAACACCACCCGTTCTAGCAGTTGTAACATATATGACAGAGTATGGCAAATGTGGGTTGTTGGCAATCATGATTTGTATAGATATTCGAACTTGAGATACCTCGCAGAATCTAAAAATATCTCAAGGACTCGCAGATGTACTCCGTACGTTGTATAGAATGCATTGTACCTGAAGGCGGTGAATTACGTCAGAATGGGTCCAAACAAGACCATCTGGCCTCCGGTTGGATCAGTTGATGACCACCTTGGGTGTTTGTGGAAAGAAAGTCATTAGCTCGGGAGATTATTATCTCTTACTTATCCTGTTACCAGCCCTAGTGGTCTCTTTTCCACGACTTACCGAGTATCGAAGCAATCCAAGTCTCCAATCTATGCGGGCATTCACAACACAACATGGTATATTGCACTTCCCCGCGATAGGTTTACACAGCTGACATGAACAGAACTCGCTATTCAACTCTGCTTTAAAGCAATCATCGTCTATCCGCCGTGATCTGGACACCTTTTCACAGTCCCCAACCACCTCGTCACCCGCGTTACAAGGTGCGCTCGTACCACCGACTCTTTGCAACCCAATATATTGACTTCAAGCTCCTAGGCCAGCTGGCGGCCTCCTTGGCGTCACTTTCCCGCACTGTCGATGACTACTCAGCGCTCTCCAAGAAGGAACTGATTCCCGAGAAACAACAAAAGGCATTCGACCGCATCAAAAACTTCCGAAGTGAGCTTGCAGACTACCGAACACAATTTGATCGACTCCGCAAAGAACGTGAGGATGCAGTATGTGCCCAGCAATCCTTTCATGGAGTACTTCCAATACTGACTCCATACCAGCAATCGGTTAGCAACCACAATGAACTCCTAGGCCGTCGCCCACACCACGCCGCAACACCAGAGAACCCCTATGCGCAGTCTTCACTCCCACAGAGCACCTCCGCCTTTGCACCCTCATCCTCCGGTCTCGGATTTGGCGCTAGCCCGGCAGACTACAACCGCGAAACCACCGCGCTGCGCGAGCAATCCTTCTTCTCCAACACACACAACCAACTCGATGATTTCCTGGACCGGGGAAGAGCAGTCCTCGCCGATCTAGGACAGCAACGTGAAGTACTCAAGGGCACGCAACGGCGACTATACAGCGTTGCGAACACCCTTGGTGTGAGCGGCGATACAATCCGGATGGTGGAGCGGCGGGCGCGTCAGGATAAGTGGATCTTCTGGGGCGGAGTGGTGGTTTTCTTCTTGTTCTGCTGGGCAGTGCTGCACTTCTTGCGGTAGGGATTATATCACGATGTGTTGTTGGTCTTTGCCTGGGTGGGTATATTTGGGAGCTGGCGAGGGTCCTTGGGGTTTACCTGGGTAGAGTGTGGTCTTGTATCTTGTATTGGGTTCATCAGCGTCGGCGTTTGGTCTTTGCAATTGCTGTCCTTATTGCCAATCAAGTGTCTATGTTTAGCTGGGAGTGTGGTATTGTAAATGTATATATATATATATATATGTGCTCGTCTATGCTAGATGCAACTATAGTCCATTACTAGCTTATTAACTATTATTCTATGAAATATGCAAATACATTGCATGGGTCTGAGTGTAGCAAAGGAATTCATTGGTTATAAGGTATCGAGTACCTAAATATACACCGTAGGCATTGGGTGAAATTGGACCTTCTTGTATGACCTCGGGATACTAGTTGTGTAACTAGTTAGTATAACTACTTGTAGGTTAGTCACACCAATTACATATAAGCCGGTCCCTTCTTCAAGACGTGGTTTTCGTCAAGACCCCCTAGATATATTTCCAAGTACTCAAGTAAATATCTCCGTTGTAAATGGTTCGTACTTTTGGCACATGAAAATAATTACCTTGGCAAGATGATGCGATACCACATGCAGAAGTCCACTACATCCATTGCTCCGGGAACGGGATATAAACATTCTACATATATAGCAAGGGAATAAGATATTATTTAGATAAAGACATTAGTATTTCTTACCTATAATAAACAAAGAATTAACAACATAATAATCCACTAATAAAAGAAGTAAAAGAAGTAAAAGAAGTAAAAGAAGTAAACGAAGCCAACCTCAGCCGAGCATCGGGAGCTCGGAAACCGTGTTGTCCCAGGTGGAGCCGGCCAATCTCTTTCACCGGAATCTCCTCCTTCCCCTTCAACTTTCTTCTTCTCTTCATATCTCCCCAAATATCAATCATGTTTGCCGCTCGTCGTACTGTTAACCTCTTCCAGAAGCGTGCCTTCTCGGCCTCCGCTATCAATGTGCGTGTCTATTCCTTTCTACCTTCTAATTGAAAGCTAACTCCTCGCGCAGGCCTCCAAGGTCGCCGTTCTCGGTGCTGCCGGTGGTATTGGCCAGCCTCTCTCCCTGCTGCTGAAGCTCAACCCCCGTGTTTCCGACCTCGCTCTCTACGATATCCGTGGTGGACCCGGTATGAATGAATATTTTGACTCAATTCAACACCCTAAATACTGACCTTTGTTTAGGTGTCGCTGCTGATTTGAGCCACATCAACACCAACAGCACTGTTACTGGCTACAACCCCGATGCTTCCGGTCTCCGTGACTGCCTCGAGGGCTCCGAGATCATCCTTATCCCCGCTGGTGTTCCCCGCAAGCCCGGTATGACCCGTGATGACCTCTTCAACACCAACGCCTCTATTGTCCGCGATCTCGCTAAGGCCGCCGCTGAGGCCGCTCCTAAGGCCCACGTCCTGGTCATCGCCAACCCCGTAAGTCGCAAAAATCACAATCACCTCAACAATTAAGTGCCCCTACTAACCCTCCATCATTAAAGGTCAACTCCACCGTCCCCATCGTCGCCGAGGTCTACAAGGCCCGCAACGTCTACGACCCCAAGCGTCTGTTCGGTGTCACCACCCTTGACGTCGTCCGTGCCTCGCGCTTCATCTCGCAGGTCCAGAGCACCAACCCCTCCGGCGAGGCCGTCCCCGTCGTTGGTGGCCACTCCGGTGTGACCATCGTCCCCCTGCTTTCGCAGTCCAACCACTCCTCCATCGCCGGCCAGGCCCGCGATGCCCTTGTCAACCGCATCCAGTTCGGTGGTGACGAGGTTGTCAAGGCCAAGGACGGTGCCGGTTCCGCCACCCTCTCCATGGCCATGGCCGGTGCCCGTTTCGCCGAGTCTCTCCTCCGTGCCGCCCAGGGCGAGAAGGGTGTCATTGAGCCCACCTTCGTCGACTCCCCTCTGTACAAGGACCAGGGTATTGACTTCTTCGCTTCCCGCGTCGAGCTCGGCCCCAACGGTGTTGAGCAGATCCACTCTGTTGGCGAGATCAACGAGTACGAGCAGGGTCTCCTCGATGCCTGCCTGGCTGACCTGAAGAAGAACATCCAGAAGGGTGTTGACTTCGTCAAGGCCAACCCTTGAAAAGTTCCCTGTACAACTATCCATATCTCGTCGTGACTTTTGTTTTTGTAATAATGAAAGTGTATGACAATGTTCTTTTTCTAGATCGATAATCCATTCTAATCCATAAATCGGTCGATACTACGATCCTCAACTTGTAGCTTGACCCAATTTTCGAGCTAAATCATGTATTGAAACTAGCCAAACTCATTTCGCTCCATGTCCGCAATGCAAAAAAAAAGTAAAAAGGAAAAGCAAGACATCGCAACTAAATAACCTGTACCTGAGATGAACCGAAAACAGCAAGCAAGCACGCAAAAACCAAAATAGAACGAAAACCAAAAAGGGAGTGGAATACCAGACCTGCGCCGATATCCATAGTAAGCACCCGAGTTCCCCGAGATGATTGGAAATAATCAAGAATAAATCAAGTATAGCTCCGCATGGCATCTAAATATCCCGTTCCACCGCGCAGGTCTTGATCGAACGTCTCGGCCACCTCTAGCACGCTCTTGATATGCTCCATGGAGAGGGGTGCGTTCTCATTGACAGCCAAGGCTTGTGCGGTGCGGACGGAGTTTTTGATCTGATAGTAAATCGGTTAGTCTGTGGATCAGAAGGGGTGTGTAGTGTGGGACGGGAAAAAAGACTCTCAGTAAACATACCTGTCGCCCGTTCAGCGTGTGCCTGGAGAGCATATCATAATCCTCTTCAGAGAAAGAAGCAATATGCACACCCTCAATAGCGCGCACGCGCTCTAAGAACATCTTCCAAATACTCCTCTTCGCCTTGGAAGTCAGATCGCCATAGCGCAAGGCAACATGGATACGCGACTGGAAGGCATCGTCGAAGGTCTCAACTCGGTTGGTAGTCAAGAACAGAATGCCCTGGAAGTACTCCAGCAGACGGAGGAAGATGCTGACAAGGGCATTGCGGTGGATATCGTGGATAGTTCGCTTCTCAAGGAAAACATCTGCCTCATCGAGGAGGAGCACCGCGCCCCAAGAGTGCGCAATATCCAGGATCTTGTTCAGCTCAGCCTCCAGGGTGCGTGAGTCAGTACCCAGTTCGCCAGCGCTGACCATATATAGCGGGCGACGGAGTAGCTCGGCGATGCCCTCTGCCGTCAGGGTCTTACCCGTACCGGGTGGACCATGCAGCACGGCAACAAGACCTTTACCTTTGCCCTGGATGACATCGTCGATGTTCTGGGCGGCGTGGAAGGTATGCGACTCGACGAGGGCCTTGACGATGGACTTTTGGTTCGACGGGAGGACAAGCGAGCCAAAGGCTTCCTTATCCCACTCGATATCGCTGATACCGGAGATAGTGAACTCAAGCCAGAGCTTCTCGCTGAAGGCAAATCCGAGAACGACAGGAGAAGCAACGAGCAGCTCCTCCTCGGTGAACTCGCGCTCCTTAGTATCAGCAGCGGCACCTTCAATGCGGTCCATCTTCTCCTTCTGGATCTCAGCGCCGTTCTCATCGACTTCGACCTCCACGACGCGTGGGCATCCATCTGTATCCTCAACGACCTTGTACATCGTCCGTGGGGTATCGGAGGCACCGCCATGCTCGGAGTCCGAGTCCGACCCGCCACAGCAGCAGCCATCGCTATCATCACCCTCGTCACCGCTGATCCCAAGATCTTCGGGATCGATCAGATCCGGATCCTTGGGGCGGACAGTTGAGATGGGATAGTTGGGATTGATGCGACGGTGGATAGCCGGGTCGATCATGACGCGGCCATTGATATTGACCTTGATGATGAGGGAGCGCTTTTTCTTGTAGAAAGCCATACCTTTGTGGAAGCGGTAGTTCATACCACGGAGGGAGACGAAGCGCTTGCCACGTTCGACAAGACGGGCACGCAGACCCTCGGCGTCACGGTGGTACTTTAGCGGGTAGCAGGCGAGACTGGTGATTTTGCGAGCGCCCTTGAAGGCGTCGACTTCAGCGGACATAGTGCCGAAGCCGTAATCCTTTCCGTCGTACTCGAGGTAGCGGCCATCCACACTGTACCACTGGCCCTTCATGAAGGAGGACTCCTTGACGGCGTACTCAATCTTGAAAGCACGTGGTTCATCAGTGCTGCCGTAGGTCGAGGTGTAAGCGATGGTGTTGGGCTTGTAGAGAGCCCACAACAGATCGAAGGTGATAGTGTTGGCCTCGAGCAGCGGGTAGAGAGTCTTCTTGATGTCTGCATAGTCGGTGTCAAGGTATTTGATGAGAACCTTCAGATGGGCAGCTTTGACGGCAGCAGCCTTTCTGGCTTTTTTCTTCTTCTCGCTGCGCGACTGCTTCTTCAGGTCCTTCATGTACTGCCTTGTTTCCTCCAGATACAGGAACAGCATGTTGGGATCGACGACGGCGGGCTCTTGCACGAGACTGACACCCTTGACACCATCCATGATCTTGGAGAGGGCATCGCGGAGAGGTTTGCTCTTGATATCGACGACAGTCTCGAGATACTTGTTCTCCCAGTTGAACTTGCGACGGATGTTGAAGATATACTGGTCCCATTCGTCGGCATCCGGGTCGTCTACGGTCTCAGTGAGCTTGTACTTATGAATGGTGGTATCCCATACTGTATAACTGGTCAGCGAAAGAAAATTCAAGGCATAAGATTGAAGAAGATGAGACACTCACATTGATCTACACGCTTATAGGCCACCTTGGAAGCGGGCTTCTTCTTCTTCGACCGCTTCTCGCGGCGAGTTTCGCCCACGGAATCGCTCGCGGCCAAATCATCCGAAGCCAATTCACGCAACTTCTTAGCTCTCTTTTTGCTAAGTTTGAGCTTTGTGACTAATTTCCGCAAGGCCTTATCATCTATTTCGTCATCGGAGTCCGTGGAAGACTCCGAATCTGACTCAGAGGGTGAGTCAGATTCCGAATCCGATGTCTCGGCCTTGCGCGACCGTTGCTTCTTCTTCTTGCGACGTTTCTTGTCCTTGAGTGCACGTCTCGCACGTGCCTTTCGTAGTCGATGTCGCTTGCGCTTCTCAGTATCGGAGTCGCTCTCTGTGGAATCGGATTCTTCCTCGGAGTCGACATCGCTGTCGGAATCCGAAGAAGAAGAATCAGAGGAGCTATCACTTTCATCTTTTTTCTTGTTCTTCTTTTTATGTTTTTTGCACAGTTTGGGGGCAGAGGCTGGGGTAGTTTCAGGTGCGGGGGCGACAGCAGCATCTTTGACTTCTTTGACTTCTTTGACTTCTGTAGACTGGGCAGAGCCATTCAGGTTCTCTGATGGAACAATTTCATCTTTGGCCTCGGCTGGGGTAGAAGTGGGGTCCATGATAGCTCAGGCGAGCTGAAGGTGCAAGCTGCAAGCTAGAGCCAAGCTGTACGCTATAAATAAACTGTAAGCCGTAAGCCGTAAGCCGTAAGCTGGGGGAAGTTGGAGAGAGTTGGAGATTACAGCAAAGGGGGAACCAGATTAAATAATAAAAAGAAAGGAAAAGAGAAGAGAAGAGAGAAAAGAGAAGAGAAATACAAAGAAGAAAGAGAATGGCACTGTGGGTGAGACGCATTTTATGTGAAAGGAGAGGCATCACGCAGGCAGGCTGCAGGCCTGAAGCCAATCAGTTGACCCCACGAATTGATGTGTTGGTCTGCCTATTGGAAATATACGGTGTACTTTTATGGCCGTTTTCTTTTTCTTTAGCCTATTAAGCGCCTTGGACTAAGCGATATTGATATTTTAGATAAAATATGGAAACGTTAGTATACCTGTGTACTGTGTACTGTGTACTATGTACTGTGTACCTGTGTTACTCTACAGTGTGTCAATATCGTATATCAATATCGTATGTCAATATAATATACTATATACTAGTATGCTATACTAGTATACTATAGTAGTATACTATACCAATGCATCCATTATATGGAAGTCGAGACCGAATAAGATCAAATATCATCCACCATAACCATAACCATAACCATAACCATAACCATAACCATAACCATAACCATAACCATATATCATATATTTGGTCACCCTGATATTCTGCTCTTCTGTTCATAGTTAGACATGAACAATTATAATCTTTAATTATCTACATCTAACCAATACGGCAATCATAAGGTAACAACTGTTTATATAGTATAGAAGGGAGTAAAAGTATCAATATATCAACACCCTAAAGTAGGTGAACGTACGACTAATCGCTTATATCGACAGAGTAGTGCTTACCTCGTCAAATATGTAAATTATATCCTACTTAGGTAGGCACATAAATGACCGGTTCTCACAGAATGATCTTCCCTTCGTCGCATCCCCTTCAACATTGACAAGATGGAACACGACAGAACAGTTAGGGATCTGTTCCCTGCCCTGGCTGTGCAATTAGAACGAGAAACAAGCGAAACTCCATCCATTGAATCTGATGATTCTGCCGTTGCGTTTGTACACGAGAGCCCTACACCACGGGCCAGCACACTACCCTAGGGCTCTGATGCTCCCATGTTTGATATTGATCCATCGACTACCACTCAGCACACTTCTGTAGGTTTTGATCCTCCCAGTCTTTTAGTTCAATTACCAACCTCTCTTCTTGCAAGTTTCATCCCCCCCCTCAGCTAACCACCGACGTCCACGACTCTGACGGTGAACCTACTTCGCCGGTGCCTCCTGTGCCTCTTCCACCTTTGCTTCCGTCCAATTCGGAGAACAAAGCTTCCACCCCCCCTGCTTCTTCTCCAGAGTCTCCTCGACAGGACACCCCGGACCGTTGGACAACTACCCAAGTTCCGAGCACTCCTGTTAGGTCGACTCGAGTTCGATTTACTCCACTTGGAAGGAATTCTGAGGAGTACCTCCCTACAGCGAGCCACACTGTTTCTTCTCGTGATAACTCCCCGTTCTTCTATCCTAATTCACAATTGCCAGTGCACTAATACAGGTTCTACCAATGAAGATGAACACGATACGGACGTGACTCCCATTGCCACTTCTAGAATAAAACCTCTCGTCAACGAACCTCGTGAGGATTCCACCTCAGAGTCGGATACCACTTCAGACTCTACGAATGCAAATGAATCCCCCAAGGACGTGACTCCCATTGCCGCTCCTAGGATAAAACTCTTTTTCAAACCGAAGTCTCGTCAGTCCACCCGGGACTCTATTCCCTCAACTGTTCCATCCGACCCCGGTAGCAGCGAACATCTTTCGTCCCCTACCAAACCCGGCAGTCAATCGTCCAATATGGTTCCTCCTAAGCCTAGTGCTGAAAGCACCTCTCATGAGTCTTCTTCTGACTACGAGACATCGACTAGTATCGATGCTACTTCGGAGCTCCCCGCTACCAGTGAGTCTCCTAAGCCCAATTCAAGCTCTGACGAAGCTCCGTCCCGGGATGCTGGCTACCTGTCTCCTTTGGATTTCGTCCCTTCTACTCCACCGGGCCCTGCAATAAACCCTTCACTCGATCCATCCATGGATCCTTCAATGGACCCTTATATGGATCCTTATCAGTCAAGTGATTCAGCAGTTATGCCAGGGATCACCCCGTTCGAAGACCCAAATGTCCTCCCATCCACATTCATGTACCCCGAGGAGACTCTTGACTACAGCATCTTGCCCATTGACCCCATGGGGGTGTACACCCCGGAGCAGTATGCACGCATCCTGGCGTCTGAGCAGGAGGTCCTGCGTGAAATGGCTGACCCCCATACCGATACTCCAATGTATGTGTATGGCCGGAGAGTAGAGCCACATTACACTACAGTTGCCGATCTGGACCGTATCTTTGCTGAGATGGAAGCCGCTTCTGCTGGCATAGATATTCTACAGCCTGAATATTGGGCTGCTATCGGCCGCGATCTGCCCGGTCCATCTCAACCAGGTGCACTGGTGTCTGATCAACCCGCCCATGCTCAATCGGCATCTGAGACTTTGCCGTCAGTGGAGGAAGCAGAAGCAGGCTCAGCCAGAAAGCGTGCCCGACACAGTTCACCGACAGCAAAGAGCTCGACCCCAGAGCTATCAACCACAATTTCAGCCAGAACTTCAATCTCGAACCAACGCCGCAGCACCTCATCTAAGACCAAGACCATGAGTTCTCCGCCTGCATCAATACCAACACGCCGTCATTCCAAGAACGAAGTCGCGACACCATCCGCACCGGCCTCAGCACCATCTCGACGCCGCTCCAAAACCAAGGCAAAGACCGAGATCGCTACTCCAGAGGTCCCGGTGACCGTCTCCCCACGCCGTCTGCGCAGCTCGGATGTCATGCCGAGCTCCAGCACAAAGAAGAACCCCAAGGGTAATGCAACCCCAGAGTCATGGGAGACAGCACCTACCGCAGACAAGATGATGTCACAGATGAAAGAGTCGTCGATGTCGTGGACGGACGTCACCACAGCATGGAATGAGAATCGAGATAAATCGGACAGCGAGATGACATGGCGAGCACTGAGCAAGCGATGGGGACGAATCAAGGATAGAATTGGTCCCTGGCCCGGTTTTGACGTATGTATTCATTTGACTCTTTGACCTCCCCAATCTCAGATGCCCTTTGGGGTTCTGTTTGGGGATGGATACTTATTTTATTGATCCGAGTAGCTAACTTTGAATAGGAAGTTCTTCTGGATACTTTGGGAGCGTTCGATCCGAAGCTGGATGACGATGACTTTGCGCAGATTGCTGAGGAAGTTTCCAGTGGGCTTGGCTGGGATGTTTCCAGCGCGGCTTGCCGTGTTCGATACGTAGCCCTCAAGGAGTCTGGCAAGATCAATGTGAAGGCGAAAGGGAGGGCACGGAAGTAATCCGTTTGTCCTTGAATGTTTGAGTTATTTGAGATGAATGGCGAGGTGAGACGTCATTCCCTTCTACTGGATATGGATATGGATATGCATATCGATGATTTTACCCAGTGGCTAGTTGGCCGGGCCCTGGATGCCATATGCGACAACTGACTGTTGGATTTACTGTTGGATATGACTTCATATTTAAGTCAAAAGGACAAAAAAGAAAGAAAAAAAAGGTAAAACACCAAAACGGCCAAAAAAAAAGTTCGCTTAAATACAAATCAAACCCAAAAAAAGAAATTGTAAGATTTACACCATTTCCTGCAGTGAAGAGTAGAATGACCGTAGATGAAATTGCTGGACAATGCTCGGCAATGCCCGAGACAGGATATCAATTCCTTTCGAGATAAATACAAACGCCCCTTTATTGCCAAAGTACCCGCCCGCCGTCATACAATCATAACGAGTAGCTAGAAGAAAACACACAAATCTAGAAAACACACAAATCTAGAGAACACTCAATTCTCGTCGACTACCACTACGCACACTCATACCGGGCCCTGGAACATTGGAACTCCATTCCGACGAGGACGAGTCACCCCTGCCCCGCGACCCACCTGTACTAGTACTAGCACCGATGCTGATACCAGCTGTAGTGAGGGAATCTGCATCATCGATAACAGGAGGACCACCGACCATCACAGGCCGGATCTTGGCGCCGACAAAACCACGACGGTCACGGCCCGTGCGGCCGCGGCCGAGCCAGTTGTGTTTGAGAGCTTTGCTAAGAACCTCAACTCGCTCCTGAGCAGGGTCGTCTGTTTGCACGCTAGCTAGGACGCTGATGCATTGCAGCATGCGGCCGACGGTCTCTGTGATGATGTGGGAGGAGTCGGCGGAGCTACCGCGGTGGATGATGGTGGGCCCGGGCCGTTTGTTAGAGATTGGGGGCGATGCGATAGACTGAAAGAAGAGGGGATCTGCATTGGAAGATGTGTTCGAGGTAGCACGGCTGCGAGAGTCACTACTTTTGGGACGTGGGTGGTTGGCTAGGGCGCTAATACCGTCGGAGGAATAACTGTCCGCGACGGTGCTGAGAAGCGTGGATGATTGCGAGTTGTAGCTACCGAAGCCGGCATCGAGCGAGGCTGCAGTGCCAGGACGGCCTCCAGTGCCGGTACTCTTGGCTGTGACGCTGAGCGTTGGGAATCCGGAGTTGATGGAGTCAAGGCTGAGCCGGGAGAAGGTGGCTTTGAGAGCATCGTAGCGGTTCAGGATCATGCAGTCACGGAAGGCTATCAACACTAGGCTCCGTACATCGAGTGTCCCACCAACAGGCAGTGCGCCCCAGAACTCACGGGCTTCTCGGCTAGTCATCAAGGATCCACAACCCTTGAACTCGAGATCCAAGGGGAGAAACACAGCCTGGATGAAGGGCAGAATCGTGCCAAACACCAGCAGCCACACTTGAACCAGATGCGGGACCAGCTTTTCATCTGGTAGGCCAATGAGCGAACTGTGATTCAAAGTCGCAAATCCAGTCTGTAGAAGTTCTTGCAAGTCCATCACAATAGACGTAGGAGCCCTCTTAACGACACAACGCTGCAAATGAACGAGCACCAGCTTGTTGAGATCTTCAATGGCAATGCGCACGTCTTCACCATCGAAGATGACCAGCAGCTTCGCCTTAAGGAAGTCCCACGCATCCTCCGGGGTCATGTTATTCAGCCCAAACCCTTGCAAGGTCTCCCGTAGAATAGAGTCGGGGAATGTCCCCGAACTACCAACTGAAGACGGGCCTGGGAAGCCACCGGGTGGCGTGGGTCCGCCAGCATTATTGGCCAGCCATTCCATCTGCTCCGACTCAGCGAGCGCCTTCTCCTCCTTTTTCTTCTCACGTAGTGCTCGACCGCCATGCAGGAGATCCAACCCACTGACCGACTTGCCAAACGTCGCGCCAGGAGCCGGAGACGCAGGTGTAAATGAGTATAAAGATTGTGGAGCATTGGGGTCTGCCGGACGAGAATTACTCGAAGCCGAGGATAGAGGCAGGTTGAAGTGGTCTTCGACACGATCTTTTAATTTGAGTTTCTGTCTCGACAGGAAATGATGCTTGTGCTTGTCTTTGTCCTTGTCCTTTTCCTTTTCTGGGAGTGGCGGACGATCTGCGGGGACGACTGTGCTCACAGAGGCATTGGACAGATTGTACATCGACGAGTTGTTCGAGGATAGGTCGGCCAAGTTTGTAGTAGAGCCGCTGACCATGCGCGATAACCCACTGATCTTGCTCGGGGAGGGAAGACCACGGTCTTTGCCCAGATCTTTATGACTGCTGATTCCGATGTGTTTTGGCTTTGAGAAGAGCTTCTTCTTCTTCTGTTTCTCGGGCTGTTGTTCTACCGGTGGAGCACCGGCTCGCGGGAAGACCACATTCGCAGCTGTCGTGGCCACGTTCCCTGACGGCGGTGGTTGTGGGGAGGGTTGATTGAGACGCAATGGAGGAGGCATGAGAGGAGGTGAGCCGCTTCCACTGCGTCTGGGACGAGAACCATCCTCTATCGGGGTTGTAGCATTTTGTTGCTTTTTTGTCTGCTGCATTGCTGCCTGGGCGGCAATTCGGGATGCTGACACGGTAGGGACCTGGTCGGAGGAGGCGGTCGGCAGGGAAGGCTCAAAGAAACCCTGCGAGTGATGCCGTGATCGATGCCGGGGTAGCTCGACTGAAGGACCCCGGCCGGAGGGCCTTCGGGCTGTTGGGTTCGGCATAGGGTGATGAGGTGAAGTCGCCGAGCGTGGTTGTTGTGGGAAGTAACCCCCAGGGGGTAGTTGAGTATTGATCGGAGTGATAGGAGCGGCGGAAACGGTGGTCACATTAGAAGAGGCGTCACTACCGGAGGATCCGGGGCGAACCAATTCGTCTTCATCGGAGTCGTCTTCCTCTTCGTCATCAGACGGAGGTCGGGGGTATCGAGGGGCAGGAGGTACTTGACGCCCAGGTGAGTTGGGGGATCGGAAAGTGGGATTCATAACGAACAATCCATGCCCTCTCTCACTGTCTCTTTTAGGCGAGTTATCTTTCGAGGGTTTTTCCCTTACAACGTTACAAAAGCCACATCTGGGCAGTTTGCCGATCCCTTCCTCTACCTACCTCTATCTGGCAGAATCTCAGATCGACGAAAGATGCGGAGACTTGGCTAAGCTTTGATATGGCCTGAACTCAGGAGTTTATAGCTTTGCAATTTATATTTGTAGGTTCATTTTACTGCTTGACGTCGTCCTTTGCGCCTGTATTGGTCTATGTTGTATCTAACAGATTTCCTCTTTTCCATATTTCCACCAGTTACTAGTGTTCTATCCAGGCCGCATACAGACTAGGTATTACTGCCTTACTAGAACCCAACAGAGATTAGCCTCGGCAATGCTACCGTATGATCGTCAAAGTACCATCAAGTAATATATAATTTTGGTATTCAGCCGTACCTGGGTCCTGGAGTCCTCTGGGGAACAAATGCCAAGTCCCGAGGTCGGCTGAGGCTTAGATCAGCGGAGAGGCGGTAAGAAAGGCGGTAGCATAGCTGGGGACATTATTCTCTGCCAACTCCCCCTCCTCCGCCAATAATTTCCACAACTTCCCTGTTCCATTTCAAAATGGCCTCCAATACGAGCTTGAATGCAGTCTACACCGCCCCTCAGTCCACCGAGACGTTTGAGCATGTGATCTCAACTACAACCGGCACACTAGCGGACAAGCAAGCCCACCTATCAGCGCTGCAGTCGCTCGTACCCAAGCTGCAGGACCAGATCAACGTCTTCCTTACGGAGCGAATGGAAGAGGATAAGAAGGCGCAGGGCCAGATCTCAGCACAGGAAGCTAAAGAGGAGGAAAATTACGGAGAGGAGGTGGTTGAGGACGATGCATGATCGCATGACCAGGATGTATCTTGAAATGGGCAGATGCTATGGGTATCAAAGTCGCTGGGATAGCCTCCGTCGACATAAACAAACCAAATGAAAAGAGAAATTCGAGCCGGAAAAAAAAAGAAAAACCCAAGGACATGAAGAAGAACAAGCACAAGACCGACGCCCTCGCGAATGCACGAGAGCAAGCACAACACTACCCAGCTCGAACACTGGCTTTGCGATTGGCACACCCCAAGTGAACCACGGTATCACTGGAAACAAGTCAGCAATTAACAGACCAAAAAAACAAATGACCGAAAACAACTTACTCGGGGAAAACATTGATCACACTCCCACCCAAACGCTTATGGCAGACGCCACAAATCCGCTCCTCGGTGACAGTGACGTGGCGAGCCCGCGTGCCTCCACCACGAATGCCCTCACCAAGAGCGAGCTGGGCTTGGATCTGCATATCCCGTGCCTTGCGCAGGTTTGCTACGATGCGCGCTTCATTGAAAACCGAGTTTGCAGCGCGCATGCGGCCCTTGAAATAGAATTCAAGTTTCTCCACAGCCTGTGTGTCCGGTATGAGTTTCAATGCGGCGTCGGCTGGGAGGCGTGAGCCATGTTTGGCTAGCAGGTCAATCGCGGGGTCGTTTTGGGGCTCATAGCCGTGGGGTGGGGAGAGATAGAGGGAAAGGAGAGTGAGATAGATGGAATTTTCTTCTTCAGCCTTTTCGGCGAGGTGGATCTGGTTGCAGTATCTTTTTGGTGTTAGCAATTGTTGCTCTTGGAGAAATGATATATCACTCACTCTTCCGCTTTCTCGTGGTCTTCAAGTTTGAAGACGTAGATCTCGAGCGCCTGTCGATGCTGACCCATCTTGCTAAATAGGATAGCTCGAGCTTCGTAGAAGTTGGGATCTGGGATACGTCAGTGATGGCTGGTTTCATAGGAGTAGCGCGTCACATACCCTCTCGATCGAGCCGATCTAACATCTTCGCTGGCGAGTATTGCTCGCTCTCTTTCAACATAGTCAAGAACTTCTCCTTCCATTCTCCTTGCTCGTTGTTGGATGTGAGTTGATCTAAGTATAAGATAAGCAGCTGCTGGTGTATGTCCGGTGTCATGTCGTTCCATTCATTGATGACATGCTCGAGGTATTGAATGGCCAGCGCGGTGTCTATTTTTTCAAGGAATGCGAGAACTCGTGGACGGGGCAATGTCTCAGCATTTTCAGTGTCGGTCAAGAATATCTCCATGCCCAACTCGCGATTGACACGAAGCGGCCATTCTCCAAACTCGAGAACCAGGTCAATTTGGTCTGGCGGTAGATTTTGAAGGTACGCGACTGTGCGTGTCGGACCGCTCAGAGGACCGTTATCTGTCTGTCCAAAGCGCTGGAGCAATTCAAGTGCTTGGCGATGCAATTTCTTGCCGTAAAGAAAATCGATTAGGTCATTATATCTACCAGTCTCCTCGAGTCTCTCCATGACTACTTCTGGGTCACAGAAGTTGGCAATGCGGAAGAGGGATCCAGCTAGTGATGGCGTCGCGAACATGTGTGCACGGAACAAAGTGGTGTCAACCAACCGTGCCTTGGCACAAATTTGTGTGGCGAACTCGCCGGGAGAGGGGAAATCCAGCAGCTTAAGAACCGAGTCACTTGCCTCATCTGTAGCTTCGACTGGTACAGCAGCTTTGAGAGATCCATCGGGGTTGAGGAAACGCTGGAAGCGTCGGCGAACATCTGCCAGGTATCCTTGTAGCTCGCGGACAGCAATTCGAAGACCTATAACCGGTTAGCATGGATTCAAAAGTATTGTGAGCTTGACGTACCTTTGTCGTCTCCGCGGGTACTGCTAGCCTCGCTTCCTTCATCAGGCTTTCGCACAGATGATATAATAGAGGCTGCGTGTGTGGATGTCTGTCCAACAGCAACATCATCGGACGACCCATCACTCTGGGACCCGTTCGCCTTTCCATTCAGAGCTTCAGGATCCGGAACCGTAGAAAGATCGCCTGCAATCAAGCGAGGGTATAGGCGAATGACGCTCTCAGGGGGTGCAGAAACCTCAGTAAAAAGATCCAAGGATTCCCGGTATTTGTTCAAGGCGAACAAGCTCTGCGCTTTTTCAAGTCTTGTCGCACGTAATCGACCAGGCTTATCCCGTAAAAGGGCGTCCTCCAGCATGCCGAGTAAGCTAATGGCCTCATCGAGATAACCACCATCAACCAAAGCATCAATCTGGGTATCATAGCTCAGAGCTTCCATGCGCCAGATGGTGCGGTCACTCGCAACAAGGAACCCTTTACCGGCATGGGCGAGGCTGATATTCGGCTGCGGAATGTGCAAGATACTAGCCGACGGCAATGGAATAGACTGCAGTAGCGACAAGGTCTCCGGGTTCCGTACTTCCAACACACCCTTCGACGAGTCGTGCAAAGCCAACAAAAACGGGTACGAGTATCCAAGCTCTACCGGGGCATGGCTCCAAGGCACCTGCTTCCGACCGAGAGGCTGGCCATCGACATCGATAAAATTGGTGTTTATGTCCTTGGCCAGAAGAATCTGGCCTTCACGCAGTCTCGTCACAAGCGGCCGCGGCACCATGCCTCCCATACCAATATAGCTCATGCTCGCGGCACCAACGCCCGTGAACCGGCCCGATTCCTCAATGCTACCCGGCCCAGCCAGGTCCGTGAACTGTCCACTTTCAATATTAACCATGACAAAGCTCGAGTTCAGCCCAACCACTAGCCGTGTAGCTGCAACCCAGGTGAGAGTCTTGACCCCACTGACCAAGCTCAGCTCAGCGGTATCCCGTTCCAGCTCCATGTCCCGCCACGCCCACATAAGAATCTTCCGCTTGACAGCAACTGCCAGGCGGGAAACAATAGCAGGCACATTTGTATCGGCATCATTAACAACATTCGATGTAATGGCAAAGACAGAAGCACTCTTCGTTTGAGCTAGCTGCTCAACAAGCTCGTAGGATTGCGCATCGTGGAGCGAGACATAGCCGCCAGAAAGAGAAACCAGCACATTAGCCTCCTTAATCAAGGCGAGCTGCTCAATCTTGTATCGGGAGAATTTCTCCAATTCGCGGAGGAGCTCGGTCTTGCCGTCGTCGGTAACACGGTAGATGCGGAGGTTGCCATTGTTAAGGCCAGCGAGGAGGCGGTCACCGTAGGCTAGGACCGAGTCGATGCGGGACTTGTCGCGCGGCTTGAGCTCCACGAGCGGCCGCGCGGTAAATGCTGACAACATGGGCGTGCTGTCTTCAATTCCTTCCGCTGGAGGTTCGAGGGGCGCTGCTACTGGAGCTCTCCGCATGACGTCCGGAGCTGAGTCAGTTCTGAGTCAGCAAATCTGTGAGCCTCGGGGATCTTAGTTTCTCTTGTCGGTTGTTGACACAAATTTTCGCTACTTGAAATAAGACGTAGCTTGCTCGTTCAAAGCGGGTTATAACTGAGAAAGAACATATCAGGTATCTAACCATCCATGGATGTCATTCTGTGTCAGAATGAACTTCAACTTTCCAATGAGGCATTAGTATTATGATAGACCGGCGAGGAACATGACTTGAAAGAATAGATTTAAAGTATGTAACGTATAAACAAAGAAAACCCATGTTTTTTGGTATCTGAATATCTCATGCAGTCCGAATTCCCATCACATCCAGGTGACGCCACGCCGATGCAGATCAACACATCCCTAATGCTTGGTTTCCGTGTCCTCTTTCTTTTCTCTCTCGGTAGGGAAATCCTGGTGCTTCGCCGAAGTCCCCTTCCCACGCCAGGTTGACACAGCGGGGATATCAGCCTTGAAGCGCTGCTCTTCGGTACCGTAAGCGCGGGGCGTGAGTTTGATAAGAGTATGCAAAGGCACCTCCATCCAGGGACTCTGCTCCTGGGGTATATTCATAAAGTATGCGTAGATGCAGCGGAGGACAGCTTGGTGGGTAACAATAATCACATTCTCACTGCGCTCCAGCTCCATGATGATGGGCTCAAGGCGGATGACGACGTCGCGGTAGGACTCGCCACCGCGGTAGCGGTAGTTGTACTTGTCTTCATCACGGGCGGCAAAATCCTCAGGGTACTTTTCAGCGATTTGCTCGTAGGTCAAACCATCGCAGACGCCCGAGTCCAGCTCATCCAGGGCTTTCCACTCCAGTGTCTCGTAGCCAGTATCTGCTTTGAGATGGCGGGCACTCTGAATAGTGCGGCGCAAAGTTGAGGTCCAAATCACGATCTTGGTATTGTCTGGGATACCAGACTTGCGCATTAACTCGGGGAGTGCGCGGGCGTAGGCCTCGCCACGCTCGGAGATGTTGGCGTCGCCTCCAATCCGGCCGGTCAGGTTGAACTCGGATTCACCGTGCTATTTTCGTCAGTCCTGCTCCGAAATAATCCTTAATTTTGATCTTTTGACTTACCCTTGATAGCCAGATTGAACGAGGCTTGATGTGAATATTCTGGATATAATAGACTAGGCGACTGGACAGATAATCTTTGATCTGGTTGATGATGACCGTCGATCCCACGTTGATGAGCTTGACATAAGTGTACTTCTTCTCGTCATCATCGATGGTCTCGTACACCTTTTCATAGTTGCGAATGCGGTTGCGGAAATCAAGCGCCGCCACTTCAGGGTCTTGGCCCTTGTAGTCTGGAGATGTCGTTTTGACTTCCTTGATGTTGGTCATGATCAGATCTTCGTCATCACAAATCGACTCAACAAAGAGAGCCTCGATACCAGCCTCGGTGCATTTCTCGTAGATCCACTTGCGGCGATCCTTTGTGGAGTTGGTAGCGTCCAAGATAGCCACAACACCCTTCCCGGCGTTAAACCACTGAAGCATGTCCGACATAGCAGCCTCTGCGGCAGCTCGGCGCATGCGCTCACCTTCTGCATTGTGAGGATCAAAGAAGGCCGCCTGTGGCTGTGGGGTGCTGAAGCGGCGATAGCTTCCCACATTGAAGACACGTGCAGGGACACCGACCCAACCCAGATAGCGCATGGCTGTCAAGAGTCAGTCTCACAGGTTCATTTACGAGATGGCTGGTTCACTTACCCTTGCCGGCGATGAGACTCTTGCCTCGGGCCGGGAGGCCCACCATGACAACACATATCTTTGAGTCGTCGGACTGCGTAGCAAAGTTAACAGCTGACATTTTTGGTTTTGTTTTTTTGCCCTCAAAGATAAATGACGTTGTAAGAATGTTTGATAGTGGGGATGTGGGAAAGAGAAGAAAACAAAAGGTAGACAAGATAGAAGGTATCATAGACCCAAACTTGTAGAATTGCGGAGAAAGTACTGCACAGTCACCTCTACTTGCTCGGATTTGCATCATATCCAGGCAAAAGCTATTTGAGGCATCTCATACTTCCAACATAAGAGATCAATAATCGTAGATCAATCTAGCCCACATACACGCAATACCTCGGCAAGGTAAGGCAAAGTAACAACCCCGCGAATATCAAAGGGCAAAAAACAGAGAGGAATTCCACTCACGCTTGCAACGAATGCCTTATGCTGGCTTTGGACACTTTTTGAAGACATTTTTGAGGTTGATGTTATATGAAGAGAAGGGCAAATACGAGAATCTCGGGAAGATTAGGGGCAATTCCGACCCGAAGCCGGAAGACCAAGAAGCAAGTACTTAACTTAACTCAACATGAGGGTGTTAAGAAGAATATTGAGAATATGACCTGCAGGAATGAATTATAATATGAATTCACAAAGAAAAGAAAAGGTTTAAAAAAGATTTAAAAAAAAACCAAAAGAAACAGAACAGAAGAAACAGGAGAGACAGAATTCAGGGAGGCGCATAATGCGGTGAGTCTGGATTCCCCACTAACGTCATCTCATCGTGAATCTATCCACTTGAACTTCTTGGAAATAGGATATGATATCGACGATATCGATGATAAGCCTTGTTTTATGCATATATAAGACCCAGTTTACATTTTCTTCATCTGTTATTGCTAACTCTTATATAAACTATACACTAAAATAGATAAAACACTATATATCCAGGGATGTACATCGGCTATCATATATACATATTAACCCTTCATGATGTCTGTAGTTGTTATACAAGCGCTTATACCTGGGCTTACCAGGTAATCCAGAGAGAATTAACTACGTATTTATACACAGATGTTCGATATAAGGTGAGCAAATCTACTGACTAACCCTAGAAAGGCTAGGATATACATTTCTCTTCCCGAAATCATCACACCGGTGTCCTTTATGAGCTAGTGTTGTAGATATACCCATATAGTATACTATCTAGTTGCCGGTCTTCGACACAACATGAGCAAGATTTCCCACAGACTTGACGAATGAATACCTCCTTGGGGTGGTATCATCCTCGGGTGTGCGGATGAGCGAATTATAGAAGAAAAGTGGCCCTAGGGCCGGCCAGCCCGGCTATCGTTGACAGATGTGTCAGTATCCGATATATAACAGCTTGAATGTTGTCTCTACCAAACCAAGATATTCAGATCCCTCGAGCCCTACGTTGTCAACCGACTAATTTTGTATCAACAAATAAACCTTGGAACAGTGGGCACTAAGAATTAGACAATTATGCATGTAATTCTGTAGTCTATTCAGGTATCATAGCTCATACAATGTGACACGTCCTATCATTATAATACTTATTTTTTCTTTTTTAGGCAAGTGCCTGTACTTAGATCAGGCCTCCTTGGGACCACGAGCAGACTGTACACGTAGTGGACCACCCCATGGTCCTTCCTGACCATTCAGTGTATCCATAGCTTTCAGGGCTTGCTCGGGAGTACCCACATCGACGAACAGATAGTAATGCTCGCCGGGATCGAACCGCTTGGCGGGGTGAGGGGCGAAGACCTTGCTGACATTCTCACTACAAATATAGGAAGTATCAGTATTGATCACGCGACAGAAATCCAAGCCATGTAAACTTACATCTTGAATCCCTTGAAGAACAACTCCATGTTGCTTTGCACAGCCCCATGGTCGGTCAATCGCGGCAGTCCACCGACATATATGCGGTTGCTAGAGTCACTGTTGACCTTAGCAAAGCTAGGTCTCTCTTGCTGACGCCAACGATCAACGCGGAACGGCTCAGATGGGTTCTGAGTGCGCTCCTGAGACTTGGCCACACCGGGCTTAATCTTGACCGGGCGACCCAACATATCGCGGCCATCGAGCTCGGTCATGGCGCGCTCGGCATGTTCCTTGTTCTGCAAGTCGACAAAACAGTAGGAAGGGTTCCGGCCGGTGAAAGGATCAATGGCAATATCTATGCGCTCGCTATTTTGGGAGTTCAGTTGGCGATTCACGGCTAGGCCACCAGGTACAAGTGCAGGCATACATAGGGAACTCGGCCGCTATGAACAGCGCCTCAACATCCTCCATCTTAGCCGTGTATGGCATGTTGCCGACGTATAGGCGGCGGCCATCGTTAATCGCTTGGGGGACGTGCGCTCCGGGCCGACTGAAAGCTGCGCGGGAGGTATTGGGTTTGGGATTGGGGCTCGCGCTTGGGCTAGCATTGGTACGCGATGGTGTTGCTGGGCTTTCAACCTTCATGCGCCAATTGGCAGAGTTAAAGGCTCGGCCATCGGTGCGGACATTTGCAAAGGGAGACTTGGTAGGAGCTGTATATTGTAGATATCGATTAGTCGAGACTCTTTGGGGTATTTTTTCAGGACGATCTTACTCTGTTGCTCCTCCAGTCTGGGGCTCTCTGTATCATTCATTATTTTTTGAGAATGGATTTCAGTAGCGATAAGATATTCTGAGTAAACAGTTATACCAAAATAATTTTACCAAAATAGAAGAATCGACCTTGGTAAATTGCATCTTCCACTTTTTTTTTTAGAGTGCAAACAGTGCAAATCAACCCTCCGCTTACTATTTAATGCGCTCTCATTTTTCTTTTTCCCTTCATTTCATCTTCATCAAATATCTCTTTTTTTTTTTTTTTGACAGTTTCAATGGCTTGTTTCCTTTGAAATTTCGACCCTATCGACCTTGGGGTTGTACATGGCAAGCCCATAGCATGATGAAGCACAATGGTTCGGTTTGCCAAGCTTCTACCAAAGGGTATTATACATCTCCCGAGATGCAGCTGTCCCGATATGATGAATTTTCGTCGACGGGACAGCTTCAATTTCAAAATGTGAGTTTAAATTGTTTTTGATTTTTTTTTGGGGGGGGGGGATTTTTTTTAAAAAAAAACCTCGGCTCTTATGATGAGTGACCTTTTCACACAGACCTGTTCTGAACTATATTGTTGATAAAAATTGTTATATAAATGTTATCTGATAGAGCTTCTTGACTTTATTTCTCTTGTCGAGTCTATGCGATCATTGCTAACATGATTTCAGATTTTCACAGATTTTTTCAGATTTCACTCTTCGTATAAAACTAGGTCTTAGGCCATGAATATAATTGCTACCTTTCCAATAAACATATTCTTCCATTGTTTTGTTCACTTCGTAGTGCATTCATCTCTTTCCAATCCTTCCAAATTGACCACAAAAAAAAATCTGTATCAATCTACAATATTTGGTCACTGTAGGATTGTAGCCCTGTAGTGCTTACGGGATAGATCGTGTCCTAGATGGAAGCGCTGATTGATGGGGATTATAATGTTATATATATACTCCGTATATTGTAGCAGTTCCCTTTATCTCTATCAAAATTTTAATTCGCTCGGCCCTTTATTCCTCTTGACTTTATTACCCATACACCGTGCGGGAACAGAACGAAATGGGGCAAACAGCATACCATGATCCTTTGTTTGCAATCAGCACTAGCCTTGCCAGTACTTCCAAGAGCACCTCCATCTAGCAATTTGCCCCAACCCCATGCCTCATTCTTTGATAGACCCACCTGAATGTTCCTATATCCATGAATTGATGTACTCCATACATATCCTTGAGGGTCGAGACTCAAAGTAATGTGTTTTTGCTTGCTTTCGAGTTTCTTTGTTCCCCGAACTTAGTACTTCCAACCCTAAAAACCAAAACATAGTCTCATTAATCCGTTCCCCCATATACTTCCCAAAGATATAAACATGATAGGAAAGGAGAAAATGGACGCTACGCTGTCCGAGAAAGCTGTATCGCAACCGCCATTCGGGACAGCTGCCGAGCGAGCCCGACGCAGTCTCAATGCCAAACTCTCCAATCCATTAGCTGGGTTCAGCCATACAGAGCTACGGAATCAGGGGCGCACGTTTGCTGAACTTCACGAGATGGGCGATGAGTCCGATATCCGTGCTTTCGAGCTGGGTGCTGTGCTTGCACAGTCTCCAGAACGATATGTAAATGTCACTGGTCTAACAAACCAGGAGAAGAGAGTATTGGGCCGGGAATTCACGCATCGCTGGTCACAACCATGGAAAATGTATGCTGTCATTACATTATGTTCTTTATCCGCTACAGTTCAAGGGATGGACAAGTAGCAGTAAATTTCCCCCAAAGAACACCCTTGCTGACAACCATAGACCAAACGGTGGTCAACGGAGCCCAAATATTCTACAAACACCAATTCGGCATCGGCGATGACTCCTCTCGAAGTGCCTGGCTCGTCGGTCTAGTTAACTCAGCACCATACCTCTGCTGCGCCTTAATCAGTTCCTGGCTAACAGTACCATTCAACCACTGGTTCGGCCGCCGCGGCACAATTTTCATAGCATGTGCCTTGTCTGCGATAACATGTCTCTGGCAGGGATTTGTCGCAACCTGGTGGGCGATGTTTGTTGCACGATTCATGCTAGGCTTCGGCATCGGCCCCAAATTAGCAACTGTGCCGATATACGCCGCCGAAACGGCACCTCCGTCCATCCGTGGAGCATTGGTCATGCAGTGGCAGGTGTGGTCGGCTTTCGGGATTATGGTCGGCTATGCAGCGGACCTCATCTTCTACAATGTCCACTCGAGTACCATCGTCGGCCTGAATTGGCGCTGTATGATGGCTTCGGCGATGTTCCCAGCTCTGGTCGTTTGCTGTTTTGTCTTTACTTGTCCCGAGTCGCCGCATTGGTACATGCGTCAGAAGCAGTATTTCCGTGCTTACAGGTCGATCTGTACGCTGCGGAATCATAAAATCCAGGCAGCTCGTGACCTGTACTACATGCATACCCTGCTGGAGGCTGAGAATAATATGAATCTTGGGCGTAACAAGATGCTGGAACTGATTAAAGTCCCCCGAAACCGCCGAGCAACGTTGGCATCTCAGATTGTCATGTTTATGCAGCAAGTGAGTGTGGATTTTCAGCAAGATATACGGAAGTAATTGCAGAGAGAACTGACCTGAACAGTTCTGTGGCGTCAACGTTATTTCATACTATTCTTCCGAGATATTTCTCGAGGTTAGTCTAAGCTATCGAGTCTACCTTTTCTCTAACAAAACATTAACCAAAAAAAATCATAGGCTAAATTTTCTCCACCGGCCGCTCTAGCCGCTTCATTAGGCTGGGGACTCATTAACTGGCTCTTATCAATACCGGCAATCTACACAATCGACATATTTGGTCGACGCAATCTCCTGTTACTCACCTTCCCACTCATGTCTATGGCAATGTTATTCACAGGGTTCAGCTTCTGGATCCCAGAGAGCAGCCACAGTGCACGTCTCACCTGCATTGCTTTGGGGGCATATCTTTTCGGCGTAGTCTACTCACCGGGTGAGGGACCCGTGCCGTTCACATACACGGCCGAAGTATACCCGTTGTACGTCCGGTCATACGGAATGGCACTAGGCACGGCAACGATGTGGTTCTGCAATTTTATTCTGGGCATGACGTGGCCATCTCTGCGCGCTGCATTTACAATACAGGGGGCATTTAGTTGGCATGCAAGCTGGTGTGTGGTTGGATGGTGGATGGTACTTTTGTTTATGCCAGAGACGAAGGGGAAGACCCTTGAGGAGTTGGATCAGGTCTTTTCCGTGCCGACGAGGTTGCATGCGCGGTATGGGTTGAGGCAAATTGGGTATTTCTTTAACCGATATTTGTTGCAGAGGGATGTTAGACCGGAGATTCTTTATGAGAGGGAGGAATTGGTTAAGGTTCAAGATGTTGGATTTAATGCTTGACGAGATGCATATGGAGTAAAATTTGGTCCACATTTGAAGAGAGGGATTCAAGGGAAATTTTCCGTTGGTCAGTTTGTTTTCTGTTCTAGCATAGATATACTCTAGGACATTGGTATTCATAATGAACAAATACTGACAAGGGTTCCATCCCAAACCCTCCGCTCACAGAAGGATTCGCCCTAATTGCAATATCTCGAATCTAGATGATTTTTTATGCAGATCTTATGAAGCGATGTAATTGGATAGTTGAAATCCACCAGGATCAATGGTCCTTTTCAACAATTCCCATGGCGCGATGCTAGAGTTCTCTTCCTGTTTTTCTCGTATTGGGCGCCTTTATTCTAATCCATGCACTTTTGGTGAAAAAATGTAAATGGATAATCTTACATTCGGTTATAGGTCAGAGTCAGAAACTAATCAGCTCAACGGGTGCATTGTGGCGCATCCAACAGCGCTAAGCGGCATATAAATGGCTGCGCTTGTATGCAAACTAACAATATAGCCAATCGGGGAAGACCAGCAAGTCATTGTTTAGCTTCAGTATTATTGTCATCAACCACAGAAATGCAACCTCAATTAAGCGAATCCGATCCTAGTCTCGGCCTATGAGGGTTGTTAACTGAGAAGAAATCGGCCAAGGCTCTATATGAGTACCAAGCCACAACAGATGAGTCAGACATAAATGGATCGACAAGAAAATAGTGAATGTGAGATGTTGTTCTATTATAAAATCTATACTATACATTAGATCTGAAATCGGACGTTGATTGGGCCTCCCATTTGGAATTAGAATCACTGTGGAAGGATCTAATTAGATGTTTGTAGGAATTAAGGATATTCAGGGTTCGCATACCCTGGAAGGATAAGGCAAGACCAAGCACGCTTCTATTCGACACTCAGCCTTGTAAACCCCACAATATTGATTATCGAGAGAATAAGTATCCATTTCCCACTATATTTTCAATTCTTAATTGGCTCTTCAAAAGTTCGATACAGTCTCAGCCCTGGAAACGGGATCGAATTCGTCCATAGGTTTCTAAAAGCCCTGGATGTCTGACCTAATCTAAAGCGGCCTCGCCCCCAATGTATGGAGGCATTAGGGCTCTCGCTCAGCTCTGAACTCTGCTCGGGGTAAGATTCTTATGGGATTTATTTTAAAATAAAACAAAATAAAACAAAATAGGATTATAAGCCTCAGTCTTGATTTGACCTTAACGGCCCGCCTTACTAGTCCGCTTCAATCAAAATTCTGGTATGCATTGCGCTAATGCTAACAATATCCGAGACAGAAACCAACAGCGGCTTCAAGATGCAAAGACCAGGATAGGTTACATATGTAGGTTTTTTTTTTTTTTTTTTTCCCTTCAGTCCTGTGGATCAGGGGAAGGTGTGAATCAGCTCAGTCGACCCGATCTGAAATCCCTGACAGTAGGGCCAGTGACATTGTATGAGAAGGAGCAATGGAGAATTGGCCATTGGCCCGGCGCAATCATTTCATTCTCGGCAGGAGAGTATGCCATTGTCGTCGAATTCCCCCCGCTTCGGGGCCTATCCTTTTCGGCGTATAAAGACGTTGATCTTGTCCAGCTTCACTTCTGCAATCTACTTCTTTCTGACACTCCTCTCTGGCATTTCTTCATAATGCTGCAGAGCACTCTGACTCGACTGGTACTTGCTTCGTGCAATAACTCGGCTACTCTTCGAGATCTGGGGAGCTTGACCTCAGTGATTCTTCTGATCTCTGCCTTGCTCTATCGAGTACTATACGTGCCCGTGGCATCCTCAGCCCGAAAAGACAATTCCCCTCCCCGCTTGCAATTGCCTAGCTGGAAGGTCCCCCAGCTGTTCTTTGAGAAGAGGTTTGATTTTATCAAAGATGGCTTCAGGGCTACATCATCTTCCATCTATCAGACCAGACTGTTCCAACATGCCGCCATCATTCTATCCGGGGATGAAGGCCGACAAGTCTTCTTCAAGGAGAAGGGTCTCTGTCTGTATGACACATTTTCAATCATGATGGGCAGCGTAAGGTCCCTACTTACTGAGTTTACTCTCAGCAATAACTAACTTCTCGCATTTAGGGCGCTGCTCAATTTGATCCCCATCAAGTCGGCGGTGTGGTCAAACGAATGGCTTCGATTCAACGACCTGACAATCTTCAGAAATGTTAGTATATGCCGTTCTTGATGTAGAAGATTGACTAATATACATACAGTGATTCCATTGATTCTGTCAGAATGCCAGCGGAAAATGGATATGTGGGGTAGCGAGCGTATTCTCGATCCCTGCTCCTCCCTTCACGAGGTGCGTGAATCTAAGTTCAATCGTTGGTAGATGAGAAACTGAGACACATTCCTTTTTCCTTAGGTCGCGTTTCACTTGGTTATGTGCATTGCTTCCTTTGATATCGCCAATGATCCGGTGCTTTCAGCTCGTCTCAAGTCCCTTGTCGACACTGTCGACTCGATCACTAACCCATACTCAACTTGGATTCCTTGGTTGCCTGCCCCAGCCTTGTTCCAGAAATTCTTTGCTTCTGTTCAAATTTACTGGATTGTTCAAGCGGCCATTCACACCAGGAAGAGGAGCGGAATTAAGAGGGATGATATGCTGCAGCAGATGATTGACGAAGGAGATGGTACAATTCGAATCTTTGGGGTATGTATTCTTGTCACATCTTTATTCGACGATTTTGATCGGGGATCTAACTCTCTCAAAAGTGTATTCTAGGACTATCGCTGGCTGGAGCTCGTGCCACTGGAACAATTGGTAAGTTTTATATTTCAGCAATACCGAATTTAATAGTACTGACGGTTATCCCCTCTAGTGACATGGCTGATCATGTACCTCTCCTCTGACCCAACTTGGTCCTCGAATGTTCAAGAGGAGATCAAGACCTTCATATCTACTCACGCATCCTCACCATCCCCTCCCTCTGGGTACGCTTTCATCCAAACCCTCTCAGAAATCCCTCTCACGGCCTGGGAATCCCAAACACCCAATCTCGACCTATGCATACGTGAAACACTGCGCACCTCACAGCCATACACAGCAGTGCGAAAGAACACCGGTCCAGATCTTACCATTGGGCCATACGTTATCCCCTCGGGATCTCTCGTTGTGTATCCATTTTCGGATACAGCACTCAACCCGAAGTACTACTCGGAACCAACCCGCTGGGATCCGTCTCGGGTACTTGACAGGGAAACACCATTTATTGGCTGGGGTGCGGGAACGCATGCTTGCAAAGGCCAACGACTTGCTACATTAAGTATGAAACTCATGGTTGCCTATGCTTTAACGCGGTTTGATATTACGATAGTTGATGGCCAGGGCAGAAAGATCAGTCGGGTTCCCTTTCCCGAATGGAATGATTCTGCGACTTGTCGCCCAAAGGAGGAATGCGGGATCAAGTTTGCTGAGAAGTGATATTCTACACTGCTATGGTTGAGACTCGCAGGTCTCATTTTATCTGCCACTTTATCTGATATGGATTAGTGGCCGTCTGAACAAATCAATTACTTCTGTATACTTATTTCAATTAATTATCCCGTCAAGCATTAGGTACTTGGAGTTGTTAGCCACATGACTCGTAGCCTCTTCATCTTGCATGTATTTTCCCTCTACAATAAACTAGACGGTAACAAGAACACTCTATATCATCTCTACTCGCAATACATCCAAAGAGCACACTTCTCGATATTTGTCCCATCGGCTACCAATCCTGACCAAAATACCGGTTGCACCGATGGCAGGCTATGTCTTAAGAGTTGAAACGAAATTACAACCCCAGTCTCGACCCTCACAACCAGACCTTTTTAATCGGCCAGATCAACTCGTCCGATATCGTTGATTTCCCCAGATGCGGCTCCATCGATGGACTCCACCCAGGGGGAAGATTAAACTAGCGGCACAAGTCCCGACTCCGGCAATCACAACTTCTGGTTGCGAAAGGCCGAATTGATGAAGAAGCGATTGAGGTCGTTCAGTCTGAACGGGACTCACCTGCTCATGGAATTGGTCTATGATCTGTAACTACAACTAGACTTAGCATGTAGTATAGATGACCTAGAATAGAAAACAATATGTCCATCTCGGCTGCCAACGGCTGCCAACGGCTCCCCGCATCCGCCCCGACGGCGAACCGCTATCGGATGCTGACCTTGCCTACATACATATAATTCCTTTGTCATCCGATGAGCTTTCCGATGGAAAGGGCCCATGATTTGGCGTAACAGCATGGAATGCCTGGGCGCTTCCGAAGTGCGGGGTCTCCGCATATGATATAAAGCAGCTGAGAATCATACACAAGATTGTCTACATCCTCAACCCTTCCTACTCCCTTACTAGAAAACCGAAATGCTCGGCAAAATCGCCCTCGAAGAAGCCTTTGCGCTCCCCCGATTCCACGAGAAGACAAAATGGTGGGCGGGCATGTTCGCAACCGACACGGACAAGCACACAGCAGAGATCAACGACGTCGGTCCAATTCGACTGGACTTCGCCGAGCGCCACGGTGTCGGTCTCCAAATCCTCAGCTACACAGCACCCGGCGTACAGGACATCTGGGACGCAAAAGACGCACAAGCCCTCGCGGTTGAGATCAATGACTACATCGCGGAGAAAGTGAAAGCGCATCCGGATCGGTTTGCCGCATTTGCGTAAGTTGCAGCTCCTAAAACCAGGAATGGAAATTACTACATCCCATCCCATCCATGATAGGTATGTATATACATCAAGCTAACTCCCCCAGCACTCTCTCCATGCACGACCCACAAGAAGCAGCCGCTGAGCTCCGACGCTGCGTAACACAGCACGGGTTCCTAGGCGCACTAGTGAACGACACGCAGCGCGCCGGCGTCGACGGCGACGACATGATCTTCTACGACAGCGAGAAATGGGACGTATTTTGGGCCACATGCACTGAGCTCGACGTGCCGCTGTACCTACACCCACGTAACCCGACAGGCACGATCTACGATAAGCTCTGGGCCGATCGGAAATGGCTAATCGGGCCTCCGCTGTCATTCGCACACGGAGTCAGTCTACATGTTCTCGGGATGGTGACGAACGGGGTATTTGACCGGAACCCGAAACTGCAGGTTATTCTTGGACATTTGGGGGAGCATATACCGTTTGACATGTGGCGGATTAACCACTGGTTTGAGGATCGGAAGAAGATGCTTGGACTTGGGGAGACGTGTAAGCGCACGATTCGGGAATACTTTGCGGAGAATTTGTGGATTACGACGTCGGGACATTTCTCGACTACTACGTTGCACTTTTGTATGGCGGAGGTTGGGGCTGATCGGATTTTGTTCTCGATCGATTATCCGTTTGAGACGTTTGGAGATGCGTGTGAGTGGTTTGATTCAGCGGAGATGTCGAATACGGATCGGTTGAAGATTGGAAGGGAGAATGCGAAGAAGTTGTTTAAGCTTGGGGCTTACAAGGATAGTACGGCTTGAGGTGACAAGGAAGATAGGGTTGGAATGGAATTTTCACATCGAATTTCGTTATGCCTTTGTTCACTCGCTTGAAACATTGCATCTGGGGTATTTGAAACAGTTGAAACAGTAAAAGCAAATCGTAGAATCGTAGAGATTGAGAACATGTTCCATGCGATGCCATGGTTCAGTGGCTCTTCCATCATTTAGACGGTGTCATATGGAGACAAATCGCGCTCGGCTGCCTTGTGTCGATCTTTCCCGAGTGCCTGGTATCGATCCCAGCAGTGCTCCCAGATCTCTGGCGAGTCACAAAGATAACCCATCATTGGCGTGAAGTACTGTCGTTTGATCTCAAGAGTGAGCCAGGTCAAGGTACCGTAGGTATCGATGCAGCTGTTCATCAGTTCCCAGATGACAAGGACACGACGCGAAAGCTTTGCGCGTGCGGGGGTAGGATTTCGCTCGTTCAAGAGCTGACGGTTGCGCAGAAGAAGGAAAGGATTGTGGACCCATTCTTCATACATGTCCATGTACAAGGCAAGCAGTCGTCGTTCAAGGTATCGAGGCTTCTTCATGGTCCTATTCACTGTGTATTAGAGGTGCTGAAGCATACGGTAGACAAGAAGCAAAGGGTGTTGGTACTTAGCGAACACAGCCGCCATTTTGCAAAGACGGTCGTAGGCCGAAGTAGCCTCCATTGAGACACCCTCCAGGGCGAAGGATACCTGCTCGGCAGTCTCCAGCTGCTCTCTGAGCATCTCTTCGATGAATTCGACGTGGTTTAGAATGGTCTCGAGGTCAAGTTCCGCGTCTTCGATTTCTTTGGGAGCCAGAAACTCTGGGCTTTGGTGGAAGATGACGAGATTGAACTGGATAGTGGCGTTGATGATAGTAATGAATTGCTTGCGGATATCAGGAAGCATTTCCGGGTCGGCGAGAAGGTCTTGCAGCTGTTCGAGGACAACCTGGTTGCACTGAGACGGGTCACTTTGGACATATGGAGTTATGTTGGGGTCGACATGGAGCATGCGGATCTCTTGCTGGGCAGCTTTGCCTAAAGCGTAGACCCATGCTTCCTCGCGGCGTTTCTCGACTGCGATGCAAGATGCAAGCATCTCACACTCGGACTCATTGTATTCGGGAAATGGTTCAGTCTCGGGGAATGGCTCAGTCTCTGTGTTTGCAGTATCCGCGGTTGTAGGAGTAGTAGATCCAGAATCCTCAGATTCAGAGTCCATCGCGACTTGAGAGGGGACAACCCCGAGACGGGACCATGGTGGGAGATCGTCCATTTTGCGAAGATGAGATGAATGCTGAGTTACATGAGGGGAAGAAGAGGGAAGAAGAGAGGGGGAAAGACAAGGTCTTAAAACGAGACAGACTGCTGCCATAATAATGCATTGAAGTTATTGAATAAGGCACGCGCGTGACAATGAACAATGAACAATATGACAATAAGACGATACTAAGCCTGAATAGGAAATAGGACTATACATGAATTTACCGCTGCTCAATCCAAAAGCGCTAATAGGTCAGACTCGAAGGTCAGAACGCTCCTTTAGAATTGAGCGGTGGACTGCCTTCCCCAAGAACGCTGCCTGATTAGGTGAAGTAGCGAATGACTTGAGAACAAGACGTTCTCGAGTCAATCATCTGCTTCTCAGGCAGACAATCAAGAGTTAATGAAGGCAGTTATTGTTCTTCGCACATTGACTAATCGACGTCTCATGGGGCAGAGGAGGACGGCAACTTAAGTAGTGCGAGTTCATTGGAACTATTCTTCCTTCATTCCAGCGTCGTCCGGTACTGGGCCGTCCGTATCATTGTCTTCACCTGGTAGTGGGACATCCATGACTCGCTCGCCAGCCTTTTCCAGGGTTCGTCTACTCCATGACCGAACACCTTTGTAGACAGCCTGTCTGAGGTTAGTCAAATCAGATATAGTCAAATGTGACTATACATACCCAAAGGAAAGTACCGATGCCAACCATGACCACTAGCCAGTTCAACTGGGCGGCCCGATTACGGCCCGAATTGCGCCCTGATGCGACAGACCGGAGGTTCCAAGGGAACGGCGACAGCGCAAAGATTGCCTTGAGGAAGGACAACAGGCCCAAAGACGCGAGTCCTTTGAGGAAGTGTCCCAACCAGGATTCATCTTCCTCGACCAATTCGGCGTAAACATCCACGGGGCCCAAGTAAAAATCAATGATGGGGTCAGCAATGAATCCAAGCAGGAATACGGTTAACAAAAGAATGCCGAGTGTGAGGATTAGCTGGGTAGTGGCGCTACTGATCCACCGAGCCCAAGTCAGTCGCCCTAGGCGATACTGGAAGCCACAGGTGGGACATTGCCAGAAGTTTCTCGTCCCATATTTGGGGTCGGCATGGCGCCATGACTGCAAGCAGCCCTCGTGAACATAACGCGAGGAACCTTTGCATTGACAAGGGCTTAACAGACGGCCAGATTCTGGATCGGAAGATTCATAAACCACTCGAGGCTTCTGAAGGAATTCTGAGGGTTGGAAAGTAGGCAGCACGCTTTCTAGGCAGATGCGGCAGACCCGTGGAGGATAATGCTGTGTGTCTGCCATTGAGTCTCACATCGAGATTTACTCGAACCTTGACAAAAGAAGGCCGAGGAAGAATTACTGTTTCTTTTCTGAGGTGTCGAAAAAAAAAGAGAACGACAAGAAGAAGAGGAAAAGCAGAAAAGCCGAAGGTGTCCCAAACCCCACGGCTAATCCCGATTGGGTCACCGCCTTTCGTGAGCTCTACCGCGCCAAACGTCACCCATCTCTGCCTACAACACAGCTCCCTTTCTTTCGATCTTTCCATCCTCTCGTCTTCTCTTCCTATTGACAGCGAATCATGGCGGACAGATACTCATTCTCCTTGACTACATTCTCCCCCAGGTAAGGACGACTTGTCCTATGGAATTGACAACGTGCTAATTCAGCTCCATTACAGCGGAAAGCTGGTGCAAATTGGTATGGAATCATCGTTTCTGAGCTTAGGCATCGATGACTGATTAATATAGAATATGCCTTGAACGCGGTCAACCAGGGTGTGACTGCCCTTGGTATCAAAGGTACGAAAACGCCCAACTTCTCCCACATAGGGCCAAGCTGACCGGCCCCGTGATAGCTACGAACGGCATTGTGCTCGCGACTGAGAAAAAGTCCTCATCGCCTCTGATCGACCCTCCTTCGCTGTCCAAGATCTCCCTGATCACGCCGGATATCGGTATGGTCTACGCCGGCATGGGCCCCGACTATCGGGTGCTAGTCGACAAGGCCCGCAAGGTCTCACACACAGGCTACAAGCGCATCTACAACGAATACCCTCCTACTCGTATATTGGTTCAGGACGTCGCTCGGGTAGTGCAAGAAGCTACGCAATCCGGTGGTGTGCGGCCGTACGGTGTCAGTCTGTTGGTCGCAGGTTGGGACGAGGGCGTGGAGCCTGAGTCGGAAGAGGCTAAGAAGGATGACCCTGAGCAGAAGATCTCCAGCAAGACTGGTGGTATCCAGAAGGGTGGGCCCAGTCTGTACCAGGTCGACCCCAGCGGCAGCTACTACCCGTGGAAGGCGACGGCCATCGGTAAACACGCAACAAGCGCCAAGACGTTCCTCGAGAAACGGTACACTGAAGGACTAGAGTTGGAAGATGCCATCCATATCGCGCTGTTGACACTCAAGGAGACGATTGAGGGTGAGATGAATGGTGACACAATAGAAATTGGTGAGTTTGGGGTTACTGCCTCGTTTTCTCCCATTCTGGCCACTTGGGTATCCAAGGGTCTGGTTAATATCGACTAACACCGCTCTAGGTATTGTCGGTCCCCCAGCGGACCACCTGCTGGGCTTCGAGGGAGTGGAGGGTGCTCAGGGACCACGGTTCCGCAAGTTGACCAAGGAGCAGATCGAGGACTACCTGACCAATCTATGAACGAGAACACATAATTTATGTAGACTCGAATGAAACCTTTCCTTTTTGTCGGGTGATTGACGGTTCTCCCATTACAAATCGCTTGGCCACAGACGGCTACCCACCTAATGGTCTAGTTCATGTCACCATACTCTGTACCTTGATGGCGAAAGCCGAACGCTTCGAAGCGCCAGGAGATGGTCCGAGTCACCCCTGATTTCCATTCCTTACAATCGACCACTTATACGGCGTGTCCTGTAGGACTTTGACCCTCCAAATATGCAGTTCCAAGATTGCTTCAATATCATTATCGTTATATTTTATACCGTCATATTGCTAATGAGGTCGCCCTCTCAGACTCCACAAACATCCTCCTCTGAACAACTTGACCTCCGACCGGCGGAGCTAAAAAGTCCTTCGGCTCAGCCTGCTCGTAAGGCGAATCCTCACTGCGATCCGGCGTCTCAGGCGGTCTCTGCATCGAGCAAAGAGGCAATGTATCGGCAATGGCGAGAGAAATAGGATGTCTTGAACCCTGGATGAGATCTACCAGACGACCAAGCACAGCAAACTCAAGTTTGAGTTTGAGCGAGTAAATGAATCCCTTCAGGGTGATTTGCACGGAGTATAAATTAGCGTATTCGAGACTCAAAAGCAGCAGATCCATCCCAATGATTGCGCAGTTAATCCCGATCAGCTGATACATGATTCTCCGGGTATCTGGACGCGAAGGCACATCCGCACCAAGACGCAGCAGCTTAACCGTCTCGATCACATACAGCGTCGACAGCAGACTCTCTTGAATCGTGAACCCAGTCAGCTGGATCTTCTCCATGATGTTATATCCATTCACCCAGGAAGCGTCACCGGTGTGGACTATGTTCGCGCCGTAAGTGAGGATCGTCGTGGGCACATGCAGGAGCAAGACATTTGCGACGATGATCTGCAGCACACGGTGCAGCATGCGCTCGTCCCGTAACACAAGGTGCAGCCGTGAGTAGAGCACCACCGATTGGCCGGTCACCATGGTCCACCAGCCGATAGTTAGGACAGTAACCGACAGCACGGAATTAGTCTTAGTAAAGAACTTCATCAGGAAGCCAATTGAGTATGGTACGACGCCTAGCACTCCCGAGATAAGCAAGGACCAGAAATAGAGCCCGCGCCAGCGGCGGAAGGTAGCTGGGACGAGTATAACCAGCTCAGCGACGTTGTAGCATGATAATCCGATAAAAACGACGAGTATCATCTGTAGTATGTCACCCTCTTTCGCCAGGGAGCCGGATATCCCATCCAGCAGGTCCTGGGGAATGTTGGACATTGTTGTAGAAGAGTCATTCGAGGCTTTGGGGAGGAGCGATATGAGCGACCGGACTCGAGGAGGGAGTCTGGTTCACCCTGTTTGGTATGTCCACATATTCTAATGGACAAACGGGGGAATCGAGGAATTTTCAAGAAGGGAAAGGAGAAGGCGAAAAGACGAAAAGACGAAAGAGTAAACGCAGGATGGGATGTGGACTGGTCGTACAGGTCAATGCCGCGTCATGCAGACCAATTTTTGGACTCGTCTTGAGTGAAAGGAAAACAGAAGAAGCCTCGGGTATTCAAGGGTGTTCACAGGATGTTCACAAGGTGCTTATAGTGTGTTTTATGGGGTATTCAACGTATTCAACTCCAGGGTCAAACCTTGGGAAGTCTGGGGTATGGGGGAAGGGGGAGGCGTCGAATCTAAGCATTCAATAGTCCGGCATCGGCGCCTCCGAGATTAATTCGCTAATTTCTAATTTGTTCAATGGTAGGAATTGGAAAAGATTCGGAGGATTTGATTTTGTGGGCTATTTTCATCCTTGCATGTGAGACAAAAACATGGTCCATAAACGAATAACCCCGAATAACCCAAAAATAAATACATTTAGATGAAAGAGATGTCCAAGATATGAAAAAAAAAAAGACGTAGTATTCTCTACTATCATATTATGCTAATAAGCTAATAATTCTTTGAAATAATATATGATTTCACGATTGATTCGTGTTCAGAGTTGCCTCGGCTGTCCATGGGACATCTTCCTCAGAGTCTTCATCCTGACTGTCGGCTACTTCCTCCACTTTCCGTTTCTTGCTTGGTGCCTGCACAGGCTGTTTTGGTGGCACTGACTTAGATGGTAATGGGCTTGGAAACTTCAGTTCTGGAGATGGTGGTGCAGAAGACAGTGAGGATATAGGCGAAGGGGTCGGAGTAGGAGGATCATAATACTCAAAGTCGGGAGACTTTGCCAAGGGACTCAAAGGCTCGGAGGGCAGCGATCCCTTTCTCTCTGTCTCATAAAGACCATCCTAGCCAAAATTAGAAGCACGATCGCATGCAACAGACCAGAGACATCGACATACCGGTTCAATGCGAAACGCAACGTGCAGCTCCTCGACTTGTTCGGGCAATGGCTTACCCGCGCGCTTCTCAACCTCTGCAAATCGTTCATCTGGCAGGTCACGATACATCGCAATGCGTGTTTGCACGCTGGCCTCCCACGCGCTGCCGGACAAGAGCGGCTGCAGAACCGCGTGAGACTGAGGCTTGATTTTCATATGAGACTGGTTAATAGCCAACACGGCGATATTCCTCGCGGCGAGTCTAGCTAGGTGTGTGGCTAGCTCGCCAGCAATGTTCCATTTGCGATTGAGCAGCCATTGTAGGTGTGCTTTATCAGTGATTTTGCCCTCGGCAAGCTGATCCTTGAGCTCTTGGGCGCTGGGGAAGTAAGCGGGGAATAAATTTGACACGGAGTCGACAACAATAAGGTTTGTTTCCGACGGTGGGAACCCCTTTGGTGGACGTGCCAGCAGGGCTATAAGATGGGCTAGTGTATGCGCCCGGAAATAGACAAAGTCGTCGAGGTTGATGGACATCTCCTCGAGCCGGGGACTGGGCAAGGGACATCCCGTATCTAACGGGTGTGAGTAGGACAGCGCAGCTGACTTGGGGAACTGGCAGGAACATACCAATCCAGACTACTTTGCCGTCGCGTAGTGCATTACATGTAATATTCAACCTGTAAATGGATCAGATCGGATTCTGGCGGTGTGGATAGGGGGTGCACTCACGCCAGCGAGGTCTTGCCGACTCCTGGGGGGCCGAATATTTCTGTAACATGTCCACGCAAGATGCCGCCTTGGTTGGGCTGGTCTGGGAGGTCATTTAGAGCCTCGTCTAGACGCGCCAGACCCGTCGCGATCGGATGGCGGGTGGCGGCCGACGCGTTGAGGGACTGCGATGCTGAGATCGAGACCACGGGCGCTGGGGAATAGTTTAATGTTTGTTTCTTTCCTAAAGCATTTGGAGAATTTACTTACGTGTATCTTCGTCAAACCCTTCGAGACCGTCGAGACCGAGAAGGTCCATGTTGATGCTCATGGGCGCATCAGGATGGCTGGCAGCAAAGCCAATGCAAAGACAATTTAATAGGAAAATAAGAAAATAAATTCAAGCTCTAATGCTGTATTCAATCTCATCCTAAAAATGACACATAAAATGCCATCATAAAGCACCTGACAGGGCAGTGGGATGTTGACGGGTCGGATATCCGGGAGTGAGATTTTTTCCCCCTTGATCTCGATCTTGATCTCGAGTCGTGCATCATACACCAATGTCCAATGTCGATACCTCCTTCGGGGGAGGTGTACTCCCGAATTCGATCATCCTATTCTTTCTGTCTGTGCTTATTCTTGTTCTCAAAACATTGAAGACCTTAAAAACACCAATCAATCCCAAAGGGTGTCGCCGCCTAGGACTGCGGCCAGGCCAAAGCAACCTGGACGATGAATTCGACTCAAAGTACACCCAGGGTCAACCCAGCGATCAAGATGATCATGGCCGTCCGGCCTGGCGCGTAAAGGCACTGTTCAGCTACCCGCTCAAATCCTGCGGTGCGGTCGAGCTGCAAGTCTCGAACGTCGTACAAACCGGGCTTGAATTTGATAGACAATTCGTCTTTGCAGAGTACAACAATGATGAATGGAACATTCGCACCCTGCGTAACGCAGGTTTCAACCGCCTAGCCTTGATCCACCCCGAAATCTGGGTTCCTGATCCGTCTGCCCCAGATTATGATGCAGACCTGCCGGAAGTCAAGTCGCAGGGTGTGCTGCTGATATCATATCCACGAATGCCGCCAGCAGGATGGAAGGGCCTACCCATCAAGGTGGGCATAGCGCTCAAGTTTCTCAAAAGCCAAGAGACGTTCCAGGTCCCGCTGCTTCCACCAGCGGACTCCGAGTTCCCACTGGTCCCAGTCAAGATCTGGAAAGACAATCCTCTAGCCCATGACTACGGCAAACTGCTCCCAGCATCGTTACACGCATATCTAGGGTCGGACCCCTCAAAAAACACCCTGACCCTCTTCCGCGCCAGTGCACCCCATTCACGGCAGATCTTCCGTAACGCACCGCGCCAAGCAGACCTAGGTTTCCAGCCGAACACAGCCTTCGCAGACGCGTATCCAATCCACTTGCTCAACATCTCCAGTCACCGGGACGTAGCAGCACGCTGCTCCTACGCAATCCCACGATTGAGCATCCGCCGCTTCCGTGCGAATATCATCGTTCAAGGCCCATCTGCTTTTGAGGAAGACTACTGGAAGCGGCTTGCTATTGGCGGCACGGAGATTCATGCTTCTTGTCGTACTGTTCGGTGCCGACTTCCTAATGTTGATCCTCTTTCTGGGGATAGACATAAGGCTGAGCCGGATCGGACGCTGAAATCATATCGGCGGATTGATGATGGGGATCGGACTAATGCATGTTTGGGGATGCAGCTTGTTCCTGCGAAGGAGGAGTTTTTGTTGAGGGTTGGGGATTCTGTTGAGGTGCTCGAGACCGGAGAGCACCAGTATATGAAGATGTTGGCACCTGGGGAGAAGGTTGAGGGGGTGTAGACAAGTTTCAGAAATGAAGTGTGTATCATTCGATACTATATATTGTCAAAGTTGTATTCTAGATCAATTGGTTAAAAAAGATATTTTAGTTAGTCATGGAGTTCTCTATACTTCAGGTATCCACTGCCTTAACAGTTCTACCCGTTGCTTGTTTACCAATAGTAAAAAGCACTGATCAGAGATGTCAAGGCTTTCTTGCAGACCGACTCTGTCAAGCATGAGTCTCCGCCGAGCTGTATCACAAAGCTGTACCACCAAAAGTCCTCCTGCGTGAACCCTAATGCAGTAGTGAAGTGCCAATATCCAGGGTATCAGCCTAGGCACCGAAGACGCTTATTCTGCCACATTGCCCGGTAATGTTTGTCTGTGTGCTAAGCATCGATCCCTCGGTTTCGGATCGTGCGACTTGGAACCTGCCGTTATTGCTGGTCAGCACCACCCTCAAGCTGTCGATTCTAGAAATCCTACCCAGACTGGAGATCTTCCAATCACTGCAACAATCGATCTCGCAATCCTCGACGATCGCGCCTTTCTAGGTGGTGAGCAGACCTAAACAACGGAAAATACCACCGGCATCGCAACATGTCCGGACAGATGTCTCTTGGAGTACTCCCACTCTCTGAATCAAGATCCACCTCTTCGATTCAGACAACACAATGCAAAGGGAACGGCGGTTCCTGGTCGCCAGTCCAGCTGCATGTGAATCAAAGGAAGGGAACAACTATGTAATTTGCAGAATTTGGGAAGAAGCGATCTCAAAAGAGTGGCCTGCAGTGGTCATACACGAATTCATCGATTCTCCTGAGTCAGGCATAGAGGCCAATCCCATAGTGATTAGAGATGATCCTACTCCTTTGGACTCGGCATCTAACCATATCGTGATTCACGTTGACGAGGACTGTGGCTATGATGAGACGGAGCAGCCTGGTTCTATTGCCGACACGAAGATCATGGCTACACCAGAGTTCTGGGAGAATTTAATCTATAGAAGCTTTCTTGTGCCAGAAGACGAGGGTGCAACCGTTGACTTGACGTCTATCCTTACGCTGACCAGATTGCAGCCCGCGAGGACCTAGAAGAGTCTCAAATCTTCAGGCAATCATCCACAAACCGCCTTCACTTAGATGACAATGCATTGATAGTGACCAAGAGTACTTTCCATATGGAGGACTGCCCTGTCTACGAAGATTTAAATGTGATCTAAACCCGTTTCCCTTATTTTCGTTCAGGAGACCTGCACAGACCCGATTTCATACATTGGCTCCAGGATTTGCGCGGTGTAAAGTTAAGGTGGTGGGTGGTTGAGAGGGACGGTAGTCGTTGTTTGCCATGGCCTAAGTCAGCTGGTATTCTTTATTAGTAAGAAAATGGCTATTAGTATAAGCGAAAAGCTCCTCCTGTGTAATGGATGCACCTATTTGTACAATTAGAAACTGAAAGTAGCTGCCTTGGCACTAAACCCCTTTCCCTTCTTACCTCGATATATTACCGATAAAGACGATCTAGGTCTGCTATATCGAGGTATAGTAAAATTTCTAAGCGCTCTTAGCATTTTGAGAGTAAGTGTTTAATATACGTAAAAGAAAGAGGTGATAGAAGGAATGCCGGTAGGGAACTTATAAGACACTTCGGGCTATATAGTAGATAATAGTAGTCTTAGCGTCTACCACGAGGGTCTACCATAGGTCCACGCCTATACCTCTAAGTCATATAGTAGCTATATATAAAAATTGGGTTAGCTAGACCTGCTATCTCAACGGTGACTAAAAGCTAGTTATTTTCCGTGGTTGCTAATAGTGTGAAACTAAAGCGCTTGCTATTTTAAAACAATATTTCTAATAAAAGGAAAGAGATCTTTTGTTACGTACCTATAATTCTAGAACCTTAGAACTTTGGACTTTCAAATTTTTTCTGTTGAGAATTGTCATGAATTCATGTAGTTGCAGAAATTACTCACTCTAAGTATAAGGGATATTTTGTCCCAACCCTAATATGGCGTCTCTCTCTTGGCTATCCTTGATTTTTGCGATTCTAGCAATAGCGTGTCTAGTAGAAGAGGATTTAATAGGAGGCTGTCTCTATGGCCATCTGTCGATGTACGAAAACAAAAGCCGCCTCGGAATTGTCTGCTGATCAATGACCCGCCGTATGAACCAGTTCGTCATTAATTCTACTCAAGGCCATCAGGCTCATAATCTCTGGTCGCATACAACATCAAGAGAATGCACTAAATTATCTAGAACGGGCTTAACATATGAAAATTTTTAATCTATATTATATGTCATATCGATACCAGGCAGCGCGTTGTTAGGTCCATGGTATGTGAAGAGTATATGTGTTTTGATTGGCCTTATGCCCTTTTTTTCCGTCTAGGTTGCTTAAGTGCACGACGACTACAACCCGGATCGCATGTAAGATATCTACAAAGACGGTCAAGCATATCGATAAGCGCCGGTAATACTATCGACATAACGTATTTCACATACGAGCCGGCCACACAAGCGAGCCGGCCACCCCACCCAACCTATTGAATTTAAATGCGTTTATTTCAACCATAATACCATAAAATTAAATATACTAAAATCATCTATCTAGCTAGACATCTATTGAATTTATGCCCGGTTTCTCTATACCCAACTATACCTTTAAACCCTAGTTTATAGTGGAATTAAGAGGACTTTGAGGGCTCTTTGATCTTATATAAAGTAATACTTTAATCAATAATACTTACTTTTATAACTAGATATAGTTCGATAGGGTTTTAGGGTCCTAATTACTAGGTATTGGTGGGCTTGGCACGGTTATTCCAAGCTTTGTTGTGAATCCTTAGTTGCCCGCTCCAACTCATCCCTCATATCCATTTACTTCATTGATTCTAAAATCCATTTTGTCCAAATGTCCGAGCCGACCTCTCGTACCGAAGCAAGAAAGAAGGCCACAGACATCAAAAAGAAACAATCCGAGAGCCTTGCAGGACTCCCCCCAAATACCCTCCACATCAGCCTCTATATCCGCTCGGACCCACCCCTCCCAAACGACTTTCACTGGGCCTTCTACCTCCACAAAGGAACTAGCTCCACACCCGGGGGGACCAAATACCATGCACGAGGCATCGGCGGTGGGTGGATTGCCGGACACGAGACTACAACGGGGATATTCACAGAGAATTTCTTATGCGTGATGATCCAAATTGCAACGATTCCTCCATCGGCGCACGACCGTGTGGATGAGATCATGAGGAGCTATGATGAGTCTCTTAACTCGATCCCGGGGATCACGTGTCGTGTGTGGATGCTCACGGTGTTGCGGACACTTGTTGATGGAGGGTTTGTGCGCTGTGATATTGGGGAGTTGGAGAAGGATTGTTCTGAGTTAGGAAATGAGCATAGCACAACGGCTAGTGCTAATGAGCAGCCTCGTCCGGTCGTCAAGTCCCGGATTTCCTTTTGACATGCCAATGGATCTGAGTCGGGGTTACTGTGGTACTTGTGTCTTTGGGGTTGGATATCGGATACACTCAAAGCACTCGGTATCATGGGTGATGCTGTTAGGACAGTCCAGGAGTTCGATACAAGTTAAAAGCATCCGGTAGAGGAGTCTAGCAATCAAAAAATAACCCGATTTGAAAAGGAAATATAGCTTTTCACTGCTGTTATTTGGTGGGATCCACCAAGAGGTTGCTAGGCCTCATGTATAGAGTGCAAGGGGAAAAATTGCATGGGAATATCAACATAAAATTGCAATATAGGTATTAAAAACAACGCTAAAAAGGGTAAAGCTAGCCCCGCACAAACTCCATATATAACAGAACTATACAAGGCCACCAAGATCAAGAACTCTTAATAGCCGGCGACGACTGCTCAGGAACGTTGATTTGTGCACGGCCATCATCAGAGTCGGTTGACTCAAAGATGGGAGGAACATCATCAGGCTCGTCGGGAATGAAAAGGTTAAGGAAGATGCCGAGAAGCGCACAGATAGCGAATCCATTCTCCATGACCAGATCGACAGCATTGATCAAGCCTGCTAGGGCATGGTTGTCACCCGAGTAGGTGAAGAAGTAGGTGAACCATTCCGGCAGGAGTGTAACACCCATTCCAATCGAGAAGCTAGCCGTAAGAATGAAGCGGTTGCGACGAGTGGGATCGACAGACCCAATGATGCGCAGACCACTGACTGCCACGGAGCTGAAGAGGAAGGCAGTCATACCACCAAGGACGGAGCTGGGGATTGCAACTAGCGCAGCGGCGAACTTGGAAAAAATTCCCATGATAACCAGGAAGAAGCAACAGCAGTAGCCAGCGGTGCGGTTAGCGCATTTCGTCAGCGCAATCACACCGTTGTTCTGCGCAAAGACGGACATAGGGCTAATGGTCATCAAACCGGCCAAGAGACAGGTGATGCCGTTACCCAAGACGCCGCCTTGGATTCGGGAATCGAAAGTATCACCCTCGACCTGAAGTCGGGAGACGTCACACGTCGCCGTGATATCACCAATAGACTCCATCATGATAACTATGTATAACGCGAGCAACGGCAGGATGAGCGGGGGGTACACGGACAGCGGGAAAGTGTGGACCCAAGCGAAAGAAGCCACTGGCGCAGCAGCGATACCGGAAGAGTCGAAGTAGTTGCACGCGGCAGCGACAATTGAGCCAACCAACAAGCCAACGATGACGGAGCAACTCTTCAGGATAGGAGGACCCCATCGCTCGCAGATGATAATCGTCACGAAGACCAGGAATCCCAGGCCAATGAATTCGGGGCTTCCCCAGGGTAGAGGATGCGGGGCACTGGCGCTGGGGCACATTGCGCGGGCAGAAGGGTCAGCACCACAGGATGAGCCACCGGCCCAATCCTGCATAGCGGACTTGATGAGCGAAGCACCGATCAGAAGAACAGTTGGGCCAGTGACGAGCGGGGGGAAGACGCGGGCGAGAATCTTGCTGCTCATGAAGGACATGCCAATTTCGAGGAGGGAGCAGAGACACGAGGTGCCCAGGAGTGCGCCGTAGCCTTTTGGACAAGGGAGCTGAGTTCCATCTTCGAGAGAGGGACAGTATCCCGATTTATACATTTGAGCGAATGCACCTTGAGCGACGGTGATTGTTGAGAAGGATGTGCCTGTTTGAACCAATTAGCATCAGAAGTGGGGAGGTTCTGAATAATATATGTAGAGGGGGAAGCTCTTACCAACGACTGATAGTAGTCCCGTTCCGATGTAATATTTTGTTCCCTTGATATGGAACCGGAACATTTGAACTGCACTCAACAGGCCCGAGACGATCAACGAAGTCGAAACTAGATACTGGTAAAGCTCATCACCGAAGTGGGCACCGCCTGAGCCGCCGAGCAAAATGGGTGGTGAAATCACTGAGTCTCTTTAGAAATTGTCTGTATATTCTGTATGTATCTCTGGTACTCACCACCAGCCAGCATTGCAAGCGCATGCTGCAACCCCAGAATCAATGCGAGAACGACTGGCACGCGATCATCAAGACCGAAGAACGGGGCAGATTTGCGAGCTCGCTTTGTGAAAGGTAGTCGTGGGATAAATAGGTATGCATAGTCGTAGTCGCCTAGTAGGCCCTCTCTGTTCATTGTAAGTCAATGACCTCTCCACAAAGCATTTGAGGTCATACCGTGTAGTGAAAGTCTTAACAGCATATCGGACTTTGTCACTAATTGTCCGCTTGGGAGTATGATCGGGGCCAATCTGATCTGGACCATCCATATTAAATGTCCAATATAATGAATATAGATATTGAACTATCAGGGACAGACGTCGGGTTTATATTTAAAGATTTCAAAAAAAGAAAAAGAAAAACACCCCGAAGTTCGGTAACTCTAAAATTGAAGCCCCAGACAGATTCGGGGAGATGACTAAAAAGACAAACGAATCCACTTGTGGGCACTCTGGGCAGTCTGTTATCGGACAAATAGGCAATTAGAGAAATCAAAGGGCAAAAAGGGCAATTAGCAAGAGCATCGCATAACCTGTTGGCCGCTTGTCTATATCTGGTTAGTTCCCCCGCCTTATCTAGACCGGGTAGAAGGCTCGGCCAATTATGGAGGAGGATCGATCTATCCAAGTGGAGAAAGATAAGGATACAGAACCCGAGTTCCCCCATATTATGTCCACGGGTGTTTCGAGACTGTCAGAGCTGTGTATCCCATTTGGATTTATATGGATTTATATGGATAGCGGAGCTAATGCAAGACACCTCATTGGTAAAGCATTATACCGGCAGTCTCCTATGTACCAAATGCATATATTACGCCTCCACAACCCGGAAACGATCGAACGACTCTGCTATCTTGGGCTTTATCCGAGATCTGACAGTCGGAGGGTGCCGTGAACAGTATGGGAGGTGGAACACTCCGACCTCATATGAGATTCACGCCCTTATCAATCTGCCATTAGGTCATTAGATACTGTGATATTCGATACTTTGTGGCGATCACATAGGATCAGACATTGCGATTGTCTCTGACGCTTGACTTGTTCCTGTAGTCATACCTACATGGAGGTAATGGTTAGGCACGTACTTAGTAACGTCGGTATACTTTAGAGGCTCGGAAATCCCCCGTTGTGCTAGAAACCTTAGAAGGTATATCCCCACTAACATCCAAGTTGGCTTCATATGCGACTCTATTTTCTTGTCTTTTACCAACGTTAAACCCGACAAATGCCTATGACATCTTACCATCATTTCTGATTTCTTGGTTCATGACTTCCTTCAAATTTGCTTTTCACTGTGATATTCATTCTTATTTCACTTCTAGGGTACGCGTTGTTGCATCATCATCTGCTTGGTATGGAGAGGATTATTGATAATAGCCAACACATGACGGGTCTCCTGTACGAATGGAGAAATCAAAGGTTAGAACAGTGCTTTGAACTGCTTTTTACTTCTACCCTCTTTCGGCTAGATATAGGTAATTATACTATTTCTAATCTTAACTTATTATTATCAACTAGTTACTACCTACACTACTACATGTGTTGCATGTAGTCTTCTACTGGAGTCACCTACAGCAAGGTTTTATCTAGTTTAAGCAAAAGTTTAACGACGGCTGCACGAGTCGAATGCACCCGCGAACGGAATTGATAAAGGAAGGTCTTGATCTAGGGTGTCAAGAAAGTTCTAATCAGTCACCTTAGGCTACTCGGTCAAATCGCCGTAATTGATGTCTTTGGTCTCCAGATTGTGCACTATGAGTAAAGGCTTAAGAAATATATCTTTTGTGTGTAAAACCCCTAATCATATATAGTAAAGGCATCTAGTATACATATGTATATGTAGCTTATGCAGGTGGGCGAGTCTACATGGAGCGGCTGGAATTGAGGGGTTTAGCAACACCCATCGGAGGCCCAGGAAAAAGAAGGATATTTATTCGATCGAGCAACGACTGGATGGGTATCAATCTCAGATTTCTAGACCGTGACGGCTTCAGTCTCACGACAGAACAAGCTTCTGAAGCGCTTGGCTTTTACATCCATGTACAGCCGCGAGGACAACATTGAAAATGCCGAAAGTGGGACTTTCGCATGGATGGTCGACGAAGGATATCAATCGGCAGATGATCAGAGCGGCTCTTCTATCGAGTCTGAAGAAAAGCATGATGGGAAGACGGTAACGAGGGAGAATCATGAGCAAGAGCAGGAGAAGCAGGAAGCCCTGTAAATATATACTCGAGAGAAGTTTCTCACCTGGCTCAACTCTGGTCACGTCTTCCACATATCGGGTAAGGCAGAATCTGGGAATCCACTTTGATGAAGTTTCTTGCTAGATCTTCTCGGGCCAAGAAAGGATTAGATGAGTTCGCAGAGCCCAAAGGTCACATTTGGGGGCGCAATTTACAACGCGTCGGTCGCCAATGGTTCACATGAACAGGTTCAAACCATTCCCCCGATTTGATGAGGCACTAAAGACAAGAACTCGATTTCGGGTCCAAACTTACTCCTTGTTGCTACTCGAGTCAAAAGCTTCAAGTTTGTACAGCAGCTTTTACATGAGGGACGGACCCCCGGAGAGATGGTGCCCATGGAGCCGATACACCCCCTTGACAGAACTGACACCGAGAATTCCCCAACAATACCAGCCCCGAAAGCTATGGTTTCTGTGTGGCTGATCTTCTTGTATGGCTTGGTCGAGGGCTATTTATTAGCCGGTTCCACCGACAACTTAGATTATCAATGTCTTGAGGAGTTCTTGAATCAGGACGTTGATCACCTCCTCCGAGCGGTCGGACGCGCCCTTCGCTTTCCGAACCATCTAAATCATAACTGGATTTTTAAATCGCCTATAAGATCAAAGCTGCCAGAAATGGAGACTATAGTTCATTTGTACAGAAACTGTACAGAAACTGTATAGAGAGATAGAAGACCGTCTGATTTACAAATCGATAAGCTTCGGTCAAGTACGTACATCTTTCACCCATTCCGGTGTATATCATACTACATCTGTATGGACGGGGAAGGGGTCCCGGCCGGGAGGCTCGGAGAAACCATGTTCAGAAATGTAACCTGTACGGAGTAAGGAACGCTGATCTCCTTTTGAAACATGATTGGGCCTCACAGATTTATCCCTACAAATCCCGAGGTTCAGAATATAACCCTTGGGACTAACATCCACTTCGTGGAACCCGGCCAGCCCTAGATGGCTCCAGGGTCTGCTGGGAAAGATGCTGACGTAAACATATTTGCCATCGCTCGCTGATTCGCTGATTGGCTGCTGACTGCCTGAGGCACCAAAGCGTTGGGGCTGGCTGGACCCAACATTCGCCGGAAAGCGATGAGGCACGCCACTCCGATCAAAGGGAAGAAGCGCAAAAGTCTACCGGCGCAAGCTTATAAGGCAATTATTTTCTTCTTCTGTCTCTTTTTTTGCCTCGGGATCTTGTGACGCTCAATATTTACTTTCGTTTAATTCGTCTTTTGGCCCATCTTCCCCATATACGTTGGCGATCAGTGCCCCGGCCGTGTCCCGGCTCCCCAACGTTGGTCCCAAGTGGGCCCAAGTATAAAAAAACCCTTTGGTCCTAGATTGAACTTCCAACCTTCAACACACCCATCATGTCGTCCAAGCCGGATGCTTCACGCCCTCGGGCGGCTGACACCAAGAAGGTGCACATTGCCGATACTCAAATGACTCGCCAGAACTGGTACAGACACGTCAACTGGCTCAACGTCACTTTCATCATCGGTGTTCCCCTCGCGGGTTGTATCCAGGCTTTCTGGGTACCTCTGCAGCTGAAGACCGCCATCTGGGCAGTCATCTACTACTTCTTCACTGGACTTGGAATCACAGCTGGTAAGTAATTCAGAATTGAGAACTGAACACCGAAGAACACGAGCTGACTCCATTTTCAGGATACCATCGCCTCTGGGCCCACTGTTCTTATTCCGCCACTTTGCCTCTGCGTATCTGGCTCGCTCTGGTCGGCGGCGGTGCTGTCGAGGGCTCTATCCGCTGGTGGGCTCGCGACCACCGTGCGCACCACCGTTACACCGATACCGACAAGGACCCTTACTCCGTTCGTAAGGGTTTGCTGTACTCACACCTGGGATGGATGGTTATGAAGCAGAACCCCAAGCGAATTGGTCGCACTGACATCACTGATCTGAACGAAGACCCCGTTGTTGTCTGGCAGCACCGTAACTACATCAAGGTCGTGCTCACTATGGGCCTCATTGTCCCCATGTTGGTTTCTGGTCTCGGCTGGGGTGACTGGTACGGCGGATTTGTGTACGCCGGTATTCTGCGCATCTTCTTCGTGCAACAGGCTACCTTCTGCGTCAACTCGCTGGCCCACTGGCTCGGCGATCAGCCCTTCGACGACCGCAACTCTCCCCGTGATCACATCATCACCGCCCTAGTCACTCTCGGTGAGGGCTACCACAACTTCCACCACGAGTTCCCCTCCGACTACCGTAACGCCATTGAATGGCACCAGTACGACCCCACCAAGTGGACCATCTGGACCTGCAAGCAGCTCGGCCTCGCCTACGACTTGAAGCAGTTCCGCTCCAACGAGATCGAGAAGGGCCGCGTCCAGCAGCTGCAGAAGAAGATCGACCAGAAGCGCGCCAAGCTCGACTGGGGTACTCCTCTCGACCAGCTTCCCGTTATGGAGTGGGATGACTATGTCGAGCAGACTAAGAACGGCCGTGGCCTGATCTCCATTGCCGGTGTTGTTCACGACGTGACCGATTTCATCAAGGACCACCCCGGTGGCAAGGCGATGATCAAGTCTGGCCTTGGCAAGGACGCGACGGCCATGTTCAACGGTGGTGTTTACTACCACTCTAACGGTGCTCACAACTTGCTTTCCACCATGCGTGTCGGAGTCATCCGCGGCGGTGGCGAGGTTGAGATCTGGAAGCGTGCTCAGAAGGAGAACTCCGAGTATGTGCGTGATGAGACAGGCCAGCGGATTATCCGGGCCGGTCAGCAGGTCACGAAGATGCCCGAGCCGATCCCCACTGCAGATGCAGCTTAAACTGAACTTGATGACCTGTTCTTATGCATTTGTGGCTTGCTCGGAGTCGGCGTTGTTTTTTTCCCTATCTGTTTCCCGTTTGATCAAAAGCGAGCTGTGACACACTTAGATAATCATGAATTAGAAACGAATTTTCATCCTTCACTGAATATATTTATTTGGACTTGGAATCTTCCTAGATTGTTAGATGCTGTAGACTTGAGGTTGGGAGCTGTAAGTTCGAGAACTGAAAAAAATACTGAACAAAGTGCGGGGCGCTTGGTCCCTCTTCACATGCCAATCCTTCGTACACGGAGTACGGAGTTTTTCGGACGGACACCTATCAACATGCCTGTTGTTAGACGCCTGATCTACTAGTCTACTACTATGTAGTTAGTCTGCATTGTCTTGAAACTTGGCACAATTACCAAGCAATCCTCTGCTCCGGGGCTCTAAATGTAGGTAAAGGATATGGCAGGATATGGTTCCTATCAACGTTTTACTTGTTATGGCCTGCTGTTAGAAAGGACGTATCAGGCATTCATAAGAGACCATCTAGCTCTGCAAGAAACTGTGTTAACCATCTATAGAATCCCAGTAATTAGATATGAAGTACTCCATATATGTAAAGACGTTGCAGAAAACAAACGCCAAGAAAGTATAGATATCGGTCCCCGCGATCATCAGCTCATCAGCTTCAGATCACCTGACAAGTTCCATATCCCCAAGTGTCCCCTCCCACTTTACACCGCATCCAAGCCCGCCCATTATTGCTTTCACCGCTCGTTTCCATCTCCTTATTCTCCTCTTAGCCATCATCGTGGCGCCCTTCCTCCGTCTCCCCGCCCGCCTCTCATCTGTGCTGGGCCACTTACGTACCAACGTACCAATACGACTATTGACGACCTCCAGCATGGCCCCCGCCCACCTCCGAACGCCACCCCAGGCCCCGCCTATCTTTACCGCAACCCCGCAGTCACTGGTAGCTGATGCCGAGCGCTTGATCAAGAGCTCGCGTGCCATCCAGGACAAGGTGGTGGCGGAGATCAAGCCCGAAGCTGCAACCTTTGCCAACGTTATTCGCCCCCTTGCCCAAGATGACAACCAGATGGGACTAGAGTCACACATCCTGGGCTTCTACCAAGCTGTGTCAACTGACTCGAAGCTGCGGGATGCCTCTTCCAAGGCTGAAGAGCTGATGGATGAGTTCTTTATTGAGGCGGTCATGCGTGAGGATGTCTTCGGTCTGGTTGACGCCGTACTGCACCGCAACGAGACTCTCGATCCGGAGTCACGCCGTCTGCTGGAGAAGGAACACAAGGACTTCGTCCGCAATGGACTTGGTCTGCCCGCTGGCCCTCAGCGACTCCGCTTCAAGGAGATCAAGAAGCGGCTGAGTCAGCTGAGCATTGAATTCCAGAAGAACTTGAATGAGGAGAACGGCGGCATTTGGTTTACCCCCGAGCAGCTGGCTGGTGTGCCTAAGGACGTTCTAGACGGCCTCAAGAAGGGCGAGGGCGAGAACGCCGGCAAGCTCTGGCTGTCGTTCAAGTACCCTGACCTCTTCCCCACCATGAAATACGCCAGCGACCCCGAGACCCGCCGACAAGTCATGATTGCCAACGAGAATAAGTGCAACCAGAACGTGCCACTTTTCCGGGAATCCATTGTGCTCCGTGATGAGGCAGCCCGTCTGATCGGCTACCCCAACCACGCTGCCTTCCGTATCGAAGACAAGATGGCCAAGACCCCAGAGACCGTTAACAAGTTCTTGGGTGATCTTCGGGACAGACTGACCGCCGGCGGTAAGAAAGAGACACAGAAGTTGCTTGATCTGAAGAACGCCACAGACCCCAAGGCCGATGGCCGCTACTACCTGTGGGACCACCGGTTCTATGACCGTCTCATGCTCGAAAAGGACTACTCGCTAGATCAACAGCTTATTGCTGAGTGGTTCCCCTTACAGACAACCATTGATGGTATGCTGAAGATTTTCGAAGAGCTGTTCGGTCTGGAGTTTGTTGAGATCATTGGTGAGGATCGGGCAGCCATTGCCCCGACTGGGCAGGGCAATGACATCGTCTGGCATGAGGACGTCCAAGTGTTTAGTGTGTGGAACGATGAGGGTGAGGGTAGTGGGTTCGTTGGATACCTATACTTGGACCTGTTCCCTCGCGAGGGCAAGTATGGCCATGCAGCCAACTTCAACCTACAGCCAGGCTTCGTTGATAAGGATGGCAACCGCCGATTCCCTGCCACCGCCTTGGTGTGCAACTTCACCAAGCCCCAACCTAAGAAGCCCAGTCTGCTGAAGCACGACGAGGTCGTGACCCTCTTCCACGAACTAGGCCACGGCATCCACGACCTGGTGTCTCGAACCATCTATTCCCGCTTCCACGGTACCAGCACAGTGCGGGACTTTGTCGAGGCACCCAGCCAGATGTTGGAGAATTGGTGTTGGGAACCCTCACAGCTGCGCGCTCTCAGCCGACACTACTCAACCCTCTCCCCAGAGTACCTTGCTAGCTGGCAGGAGGCCCAGCAGAGCAAGACCACCAGCCAGCCGTCAGAGCGCATCCCCGACGATGTGATTGAGAACCTGATCCGCACCAAGCACGTCAACGACTCCCTGTTCAACCTGCGCCAACTGCACTTCGGCATCTTCGACATGACCGTGCACGAGCCCAAGACCCACGCCGACATTGAGGCTCTTCCTCTGTCTGCGACATACAACCGTCTCCGCCAGGAGATTACCCAGATGGACGGACCAGAAGTTCAGGGCGCTGGCAGCGAGTGGGGTCACGGCGAGGCAACCTTCGGACATTTGATCGGAGGTTACGATGCTGGATACTACGGATACCTGAGGTAAGTTTATAAGTTGATTCTGTGTCGTGGATTATATTGTTCATATACTCATGAAATTGTTCTACAGTTCCCAAGTCTACTCCACCGACATGTTCTACACCGTCTTCAAGAGCGATCCCATGAACAAGGCCGCTGGCCGTCGCTACCGCTACCAGGTTCTGGAGAAGGGTGGCAGCCAGGATGAGATGACGACTCTGACCGAATTCTTGGGTCGTGAGCCTCAGACCGATGCATTCTACAAGGACCTGGGACTGGCATAAAGTGGTGTGCAGCATTTACAGCTATCGGAGCTTATGACCGGCTTTATACTATATCTTTATTAAATTATATCAGAGTTATAAGAGTGCATATTTTGTTCTCATGAATGCTGATCAGCATGTTAATAACTCTAGCTTGAACTATGTAGCCAACAATCTTGGCCTCGGGAACCCGTAGATGGCTGATATACTGATAAGCACACCGCCTTGCCATTCTGCAATTATTCGCAACGCAACAGCTCTCTTTTTCCTCATTTTAGAACTTTGGCATACGAGACAGCACAGAGTCTCGGATTAAATCTATCCATCCAATCACCGGTAAGTGTCTACTGAGTAACCTCCAACAGAAAGATAATCCTGACCCAAAACCGCGCAAGAAACTGACCAAGTCCCCAGCTTTCAACTCGGATCACCGACATAATACTCGATATCTGCCTGTGCGCACCAGCTCTAGCTTCCCCACTCATATCAGCTCAAAAAAGCCAAATCAGCAATAAACTACGGCACAACGCTGCCAACCTCCTAAAATGACAGACCAACGCCTCCCAATTCAAACCCAACACTGCCGCTTCTGCAACCACCTCCTGCTAGCAACAACACGCAACATAAGCACACTCCCCCGGCGCAGCGGTGAAGGCAAAGACAAAGCGCTGATCCTACCACTCGAACGCAAGAATTCAACAGACGGGGAAGTGGAAGCCGATCTCGAAGAAGAAGCCAAGGCAACAGAGACGCCATCGCGCAAAGCTAGACATGTCTCTAACCACACGACGCTCCTCCTCGCCACTACGATCCCAGACCGACGGGCGACGGTGATCCGACGCGAAGACGGGATTGAGAAGAGGATTCTTTTGAGGTGTGGGCGGTGCAAGGTTGTTGTGGGGTATTATTTGGATCGGGTGCATTGGGCGTCTACTGGAGATCGGGGAGTGGGGACGCGAGATGGAGAAGAGGAGGAAGAGCGGCCACCGGCTGTTTATCTTCTTCCTGGGGCTGTTGTGGAGACGGAGAAGTTGGGGGGTGAGGGGGTTGGGGAGAGGGAGTGGAGGGAGTGGGCTATCTAAATGTACAATCTACAGACAGATGTAGATCTATATTTAGGTTCTACAGCAGGTGATACCCCGAAGCAGAATAATACAGTATATTTGAGAATAAAAACATACAAGACGAAGGTTCCAACGCGCCGAATTTCAATCCCTCAAGCCAAAGCCATTTCCATATCGAACGTTAATCATATCGGGGTATCAGTTGGCGAGGATAGTACGGACAAGATCTGGGAAGAGAGTTAGCAAATGCAATGAAATAGATAACCCACTCTAGGCTCAGACATACCCGTGTAGTTAATCTCTCCGGAGCTAGTGTCAACAGCCTTGAGCAGCTCATCGACTTCATCGTCAGACATCTTCTCGCCCAGATTCGTGAGAACTACAAGTGCCGAATGTTAGCAACGTCCCTTCCAAGCGCATCCAAATTGTCCGGGGCAAAACATACTGTAGCGCAGCTGCCCGACACCAATAAATCCAGTCATATCCTTATCAAAGACCTGGAATCCACGACAGTACTCCTCCGGCTCACCGGGCTCACGGAAACCACCGGGGCGGTTGAGGACTTTCAGGAAGGAGTCGAAGTCAACTAGACAGGGAGAGTTAGCCAAGGATTCTCCTATCATGGATGGTGAGATGCGATCGCGTCTCACCACTAACCAAGTCAAGGAATCAAAACATACAGTCGCCACCGACAGACTTCTCCAAATCACCAATCTCAGCCAGCGTAGGGTTCTGACCGCAAGCGCGAAGCAAGTCACCGAGGAGGTCACCAGCGACACGGCCGGTACCACGGCGATCGAAGAGCGAGAACGCTTCCTTGTAGTTTGTAGAGGCCTGGTCGTGTTGATTAGCCATGATGAAGATGTAGAGACAATGCTTTGATGACACGGTTGTAGATGAGGGGGGAGATCCGAGGGGATACGGGGGGGGGGGACGATTCCGCGGTTACATAGGCGGAAACCTTGGAAGGGGCGGACCGCTTGAATAGGAAGTCCATCAACAGTGAGGAATTTGGGAACTCACCATTTTGGTTGGATATTTAGAAATTGGAATATTGGAGATTGGAAACAAAAATGCGGATTAGGAGGTGAAAGTCGGGGGAGAACGTGGTGTGGGATCGACGGTGGTTGTTAGGGCAACGCTACATGGCGCTATTTGCAGGGGTTGTATACTTATAGTGCATACTTTAGAGTGCCAAATCATAAAATAATAAAATAATAAAATAATAGAAAAATAGAAACATAATCATTTGGTATATAAACACATCATACATGCTACGACTGTAGCTTTGCGATGCAGCTGTCCAGCAGCCGCGCAGCCTCTCCTAACAACTCCCACCGCGGTTTGGCAAAGGAGTCTCGGAGAATCATTAACAGGCCGAGACACCCATTGCGCCCGCTCATGACCTCCAATTCGTTGGGTTCCTGGATTTCGCCCATGCGATGCAAAAATGCCTGCATGTCGCGCTCCCGGTCGGCCACTGTCATGAGAATAGGGAGAGGTCGCAAGGGTCCATCCAGCGCAAACCCGTAGGTCCATACCACCAGCGCTGCGAAGTACATAACCCACGGCCGGTTTAACAGGTAGTCATCGCGTGCAGCATACTCCCCAGGCGGTGTAGCCGGGTCTAAGAAACAGGCAGCTAGGAACTTGAGAGCGTAGAATGTGGCATCCCGCGCTGAAGCTTTTGTTGCCCATTTCTCAGTCTTCTCTCGTGCGGCGCAGTAGTCACGCGCTGTGATAGACCGGCCCATTAACCGGCCAGCACCTGCAAAGATCTGTAGATCGGCTATATCGACATGGGAGCCCATGTGGGCCAGCCCATGCAGCACGTTGCGCGACTCGGATGTGGTCGATGGACCCAGAGCTTCGTCGAAGTCGCGGCGCCAGTTATCGAATGCTCGAAGAAGTGCTGTCCGCCACTTATCTCGCCCGCCGAGAGTCTGCCCCACACCGAGCGAGCTAATCTGCAGGTCTCGCTGATTTAGATGCCAGCAGACGCTCAGCAAGCCCGACACGATAATAATTCGCCCGAATGCGTTGGTCCGGACGGGCTGGCCGTTGAGTGTGCGCTTGAGGCCGTCGAGGAACATAACTGGCCGCACACCGTGCGACTGCAGACTAGATTGAACGCGAGCGACCTCGGCAGCGCTTGTTGCAGCCCATAGCGCCTCATCACAGGGCAATGGCAGCCGCAACTCATGGGCCACCATTTTTGCCGAGTGGCCGAACATAGTGGCATGCGTTGAGTCCAACACAAAGGCGGCGAATGCAACGCGCCGAGTCGCTTCAGCCTTGATCCAGGTTGCCCATGACTCGTCTTCCTCTTTGGCTTCCGGGGTAGCAAATGAAGAGTTAGCGATGAGCGAACTACCTCGTCGCATGAGCGTGAGTGTTGTGTCGTGGTGGATATGTGCGCGTTCATGTAATGCTCGCGTAGAAAAGAGCTTCTCGTAAACTTCAAGCAATAACAGAGATTGGAACACCCAAAGCTTAGCTGGCGGACGAAAGTCCGCATCCATGAAGATTTCCCAACGCAAATGCCAGGCAATGAAGTTAGCCAATTCAGCCGCTGCTTCGGTAGCAGCCTGGCCATGAATTTTATCCAAGGTTGCCGCGCCAATCGCTATAATCGCTAGTAGTAATAAATTTGGGATACGATCGGCGCTGAATGTCGGCTGATGCAATATTGGAAGTTGTGCATGGAAGTGGTACCAATAGGATCCAATGTACGTCTGCATCATGCGCAAGCTCAGGGCATGTCGGTCATTATTTAAATCCCCGTCCATCAGCGCATCTTTACGTTTAGTGCCCGCCGCATACGCCGCTTCATTGAATCTTGTCGACATCAGGTGCAGGAGCTCCTGGCGCTTTTCTTCCGAGATGACAGCCGGGGGTGCCCCCGAGTCCAGAATACTCGTCACGCTCATCGGATGCTGTGGAATCACCGAGCAGAAATTGTTGTCGCTATATGCCGGCTCGTTCATGTAGAACTGATTCTGAACAAGTGGTACCATTCCATAGCCCGACGGAGCCAGTGGCTCGCTGAATAGCCACGCTGCAAAATCGTCTGCCATGGCGAATGGTGATCGGTTATAGGTTTCCCCGCCAAAGATCGGGTAGGACATGGAGTCGAGATCGATGAGATTATCAGGCTGGCCCAGCACCGCCGGAAAATCCGCGTATTGGTCCACTGGTATCTCATTGCTATCCACACCGGTGGTGAGGGGGTATGTTGTCACCGAAGGTTTGCGCTCCTCCGAGCCAACAAAGTATTCGGACGCGGTGATAGCAGGCGAGGAAGGCGGGGAGGTTTTCGTGTCATTCTCGGTGAAATGATCTCGTTTCTGAAGCTGGGAACCGCTGGTGGTGTGACGTTCACGATGGCGCGTGCAGAGGTCCTGTCGCACGAAGGACCGGTAACAGTTGGGGAAGTCGCAGCGATAAATTTGTTTCGGGGTATGGTTGAGTGCATGTCGGCTCAGGTGTTCGGCGCGAGAATAGCTCTTCCCACAGCCTTCAAAGGTGCATTCAAACTTGCGATCGGAGAGAACTTTGCGACTACGTCGCCGTCTCTTGGTAGGTTGACCGTCGATCTCCATTTTTCATGCCATGGCACGATGATCACCTAGAGAGTGGATCGGGAAAGAATGTCTGAACACGAAACTAGGGTCCAATAGAGAGCAGAAATGAGTCAAAGAATGAAGCTCAAAGGGGACTTGGGGAGGGTTGTCCGGGGGAAGTGCGGAGATCTCGGTGGGGTTGTGGCGGAGATGACTTTATTGGTGAGTCTGTCCGCGTATATCCCAAAGGAGTATATTTATAGTAGAATATAGAGTATAGTATTGTAAGGGATATAATATAGTAACGGTGAGGATATAATTGTAATCTATTCTACTATATCCCTACGCGTATAACCAGATATATATCCCAATGGAATGTTGATGCTCAATAGATTCATTACTCGTAATCAAATGACCACACACAGAAAGTGCGCTGCATCTCAATGCAGAAATGAGTCGCGACTATTGAATACCTAGATACAGGTTGACCTCGTACAACACCTGAATGGTAGCAATGTCAAAGCCAGAGGTTCTGGTCAGGCCGGCGTACCAGCAGGTCATTAATCATCACACCGAGTTCATGCCATCCCATCATGTATCGTACCGCATGGCACGTCAATAGCAAGGAACTGACGCCTGATTTTGTGTAAATGCTTCCGGGGGTTTCTTTTTTTTAAGTGCTGATCAGCACCGAAAAATTTACAGTGACATTCTCATCCGCTGAATCGGAATCGGGCGGCCTCCAGACGGCCAAGGCCATCACGTGGGGCTACATTGCGGCGGCGATACGAGTTGGTAAAGTCTGGGTGAGGTTAGATGAGACAAGCAAGAACAAGGAAACGGGACGGGGACGGGGACGACGGGGACTAACCTTGGAGGAGAACACGGATTTTACGGGTCTCTCCTGACTGGACTTTGTCAGAGACATTCTTCAGTAGTCGCTCGGCTTCGCCGTGCTTCATCGTGCCACTAGGCAACATCTGAAGTGTGGTTTGCAGCCATCCCCCGGCTTCCTGGGGGAGCAGTTCGAACATCGTCATCAGTACCCCCGACGCATCAGCGAAGCAGTCACCTGGGAAAGTGAACATCATGCCCGTCAACACACGCTGTGCCAACGGCTGGCCTTGCGAGATAATCAACGCCTTAACGGCTTCGCGAACCTCAGGTGGGGTAACGTAAGGCTGGCCTTCCGGACTGGTGAACTGGGAGACCATAGGCTTGTCAAATGCAAAGCCGAATAAATCCCGGTAATAATGCAGCGTAGCGATGAGAGGGTCGACTTGTTGAAGAGTGAGAGCACTGAGTGCGGCGGAGAAGATGGGAATGGCAAGGGACGAAGTGATATACTTCTTGGGGTAGTATCGAACGGCGTTAGAGGAGAGACGGAAGAAGTCTTCAATCACATCAGGCAGATTTTGTGGGGGAAGGTCGTTCAAGATCCGTAGGAAAGCAAGGGCTTGCTGCTCATAGAACTGGAAAACGGCATCACTGGTGGCCTGGTCAACGTACTCAGCACCATCGGAGAACTCGCGCACTACCGCGTCCGTAGCCCAAAGGAAGCAACCCTCGCGTGAGGCCTGGAATCCGTTCGCGATACTCTGAGCCAGAGTCGGCAAAAGAGGGATCATGCTAGTGCGGTAAGAGATGATCATGTATCGCCAGCATCGGCACACTCGCTCGAGAATAGGCGTAGAAGACGTAAAGTTCATGACAATCGTGGTCATAATGGGTAGAACCTCGCCACAGTATTTAACGGCAGGGTTTTCTTCTCCCGGTGCAATAATTGGAGTCACCACTTGCACAAAGATAGTAATCAGCTGTAGATGATCGGCCACGGCTCGTTGGCCTTCTTCAGTCTGCGCATTATTGGCAAGGTTCATAATTCGGGCCATGATCGGGTCGCAGAACATCTTGTATGAGTCGTAGATCTTCTCATGGGGTTGCACTGAAACCACTGCGGCAACACCTTCAGTGACTTCCTCCTGGCTGGTGGGCTTCAGCTTGTCAAGGACCGACTCGAAGAAGGTATGGAGCTGGGCGATATGACCACCAAGCAACTTCTGACAGTCTGTTCCCAAGAACTTGAAGGCAAGAGCAGAGGCCTGCACAACTTCTTGGGAGGAATGGTGGAAACCAGAAATCACATAGTTGAGTTGGGCTTCCAAAGTTTCAGGATGGAGAGCTGTCCATTCAGTGTAGCGTGCCAGGGCCATGATCGCCTGGAACCGCACTTTCTCCTGATCAGGAATCTGAACGATCAGAGGAATCAATTGCCCAAGAATAGTGCTTTCTTCGGGGTCGACCATGCGGCCCATTGCGCGGAGACCGAACAGAGGGGCCTCCAGTTCCTGCCAATGAGGAACATGCTCGTTGCTTGACTGCGATGCATACTTGGCAACCCATTGCTGGATCAGTTGATAGATCTTAGCAAGACAATCATTCACTCCCACAACGGCACAGCAGTCCTTGAGAACATCGCCCATCGCATGGCGGAATTGACGGAATTTTTCCTCCTGCTCGCGGTCTCCAGAAAACAGATCCTCGGCCTCACCGTCTTCAGGGCTGGGAAACTCGAGGTGTTTCACCATGATGTCCACCAACTGGGCAAAAACGGGCTGGAAAGCGACTCGAGCGTCGGTGTACCGGTCGAGAGTAACATATTGCTTCAGTTCGTACCAGAAAATGAAAGTCAGAGACACTGCGTCGCGCTCCCAGTCCCGTGCGCAACATTCGAGAAGCGCCTCAACAAGTCCCTGGAACTCACCCGGGAGACGTGCAATAAGGACAACCCATGCTTCACCTGCCTCCGCAAACATCCTTGTGATACCCTTGAAGGCCTCCAAATCTTCGGTCTCCGCAGTTTCGGCAATTTTTGGGCGAAGTGCCATCAATCGGGGATAAAGGGCTTGAATGACGGGCAACGATTCGTCCACGTCCTTTGTGTCGCGGTAAAGCGTGCAAACGCAGTCGACACCGGCATCAAAAGATGCGTCGTTGTCCAATGCTTTGAAGATGACGTCCATGAGGGGTGACTCAACGACCTTCGCGGAGGGGATTTCACGTAACCACGAAGTAAGGCAGTCGAGGAGACGGGGGTTGGTTGCGGCGGCAGCTGTAGACAGTCAGTTATGAATCCTAACTTGTCAAGAGAATGGGACATAGTCGTTGGATACGTACGCGACGATTGAGCGTATTGGATCATCAACTGCATAACCTGCTCCGCGTTGTCTTCTAGCAGCTCCTTGGTTCTCGCGAACAATTCGTCTTCCTTTTGTAGATGTCAGTTTGAACCTTCTGTAGATGCCAATACAGAAACATACACTGAGATTGATTTTGCGACCCTCAGTGACTTCCTCGGGCAAGATCTTCAGGAACTCTAGCACACAATCCCCCGCACTGCTTCCTAGGGCTGCTCCGACAGTCGCCAGCACATCCTTCCATGTGACCATCTGAATCGCCAAACTGGCCAAGCACACACATAGCTGGGTCTGAATGGGGCGCGGGCCCGGCGCAAATGCAACCAATAGGTTTAGGACCGAGTCTCGTAGGGCCAATACTGAGTCGGGAGGGAGTTGATCGAGATCGAATATAATCTACGCAATTAGAAACGGGGAAAATCATCAGGGAAGAATACCCTTACTTTTCCTTTCAGTGTAGTTGCGGCAAATAGTTTGGCTTCGACTGGCACATCGGGGGATTGCAATAGAGCATGGGTTGTTGTCCAGGCCTCAATCTGTTGTATTGAAGATTAGCGAACAATACCGGTTAATTCGAAGCGAAAGAATCGTACCGATTTCTGGAACTTCTCAAGGAATTCGTGGGCCTGAGTCTTCTCAGTCCTAGACGCATTTCCCTGCATTGTCGCGACGGCCGCCAGGACCGGGGCGAATGCCTGCCCGGCTTCCTTGCTGGCCATGTTGAACTAAGTAGATTAATCAAGGCTCAGCAATGTATGAAAAATGTATCAGCATCTGACGGCGGAAACGGGGTTCGAAGAGGGGGAGAGCAAGTTGAAGGTGGGATGGGGTGTCCGTGACGAGATAACCGTATTACGGTAATCAAATCACGGGACGACCGCCAGGCCCGCCAGAGCTTTCTTCGTCTCGTCTCCCGTGTTACAGCTATCACTTTCGACATAACCGCACATCATGGCTGGCCGCAAGACATTGTTGGCTCCGATTCACTTCATCTTCAGTCTCCTGCAGAAACGCAGCACTGTTTCAGTCTGGCTCTATGAGCAGCTCGCTTTCCGGATAGAGGGGAAGATCCGCGTATGTCTTTCTTTACCGCGATTCCGTTTTGGTTGCCATCTGAGCTAACCTGATGCTAGGGCTTTGATGAATTCATGAACCTGGTCATTGACGATGCTGTCGAAGTGCGTCTGGCAACTAAGACAGAGGAAGAGAAGCGCCGGCCGCTCGGTACGATGAAATTGAAATAGACAGACACATGAGAAAGACAGCTAACTAATGCGCAACAGGCCAGATCCTCCTCAAGGGAGACAATGTTTCTCTGATCCAGGCTGTTTGAATTTTCGCTATTCCTTTTCTGTTTCGATTTGCGCTACACCCTGCGATCCAAGAATTGGCCATCACCAACCACGATCGCGTCTACCAACCAGTCGTGCTCCACCACAGGAATATCCTCGGCGAGCAACTGGTCTTGGAGAGAAAGGGCAACTACCATGGAGTTCAGTCGGGGATAAACGGATTGTTTCTGGGACTACTTACCGAGGAATGGCATTTTGCGGGTCGATGTTGAGTATCGCGTTAAAAAATGATCATAATACCCTTTGCCATGACCAAGTCGTCGGAACCCACGGTCGAAGGCCATGCCCGGCATGACAATAAGATCCAAGCCCTGTGTCAATCCGTTCGGTCGACCTTCGATTTGCGTAGATAGGAGTGATGGGATTCCCCATTTGTCCAGTTGTAATGACTCGAACTCGGACATGGATCCGAGCGCCAACATGTCCATGATGGATGTTTTGTCCTGGGTGTGAATATACGGGATGTAGACATTCTTCCCACGCTGTAGAGCATCCTTTACGATTCCAGTTGTTGAGAGTTCCCCACTTGGCATAGACAGGTATACGGCGATACTTTTGGCGTCTTGGTACTCGGGCAATGACAAGAAATTGGTTGTTGCCGCGCTGGCTGCGATAGGTTAGTTATGGAAAACCCAGAGACCATCATTCGACCTGACATTGTTGACTTATTGAGGTTGCAGATAGACTCTGTAGAGTTGAGCGCATCCTCTTGCGAAGGTCACGCTTTGCGGCCTGAAACGCCATTCTGCTATGATAGTTGTAGATGTAAATAATACAAGTTTAGAGTAATCCGCGGGGAAGTAGGTTAGGTTACTTGTTCCAAAATAGAACCCGAAAAAAAAATATGGCAAAAAAAAAAAGAAGAGGTCCTGCCCGGGTTCGAACCGGGGTCACTGGTATTTTTCAAATAATTTTCAAATCAAATCATTTCAAAAACCAGTGTGCTTACCACTACACTACAGAACCTGTTTTTTTCAAAGGATAACGCAATTCACTTTGCAAGCTGCTATTGATCATTCGCGCCCCGCGTTCTTGTAATTTTCGAAATAATTTTAACCTAATCTTCCACCAACCCAGGGGAAAAGTTGGCAGAATCAGCGGTTGTTGACTGTAGTGAGATCCCTTATAAAAAAAATTATATATTTAAAAAAAAAAGCTGTAAATAATTTATGGCTGATGGAAGATTAAGATATTAAAATGTATATTTGAACTTCTAATATCCCCATCAACCCTTCCCATTCCAGGTCCTTGCTGAACTATGTTGTTGGTCTCCACCCCAATAAAGGGCGTCCTTCAAATACTCCCTTTCTGACAATTTTTCCCTTTGTCAACCAAGATGTTTTTGATTTGGAGTCTGTTAATCACAGCCGCTTTGGCGAACTCGAATGATTTGGTTGGAACATGGACCACCAAATCTCGTGATGTTCTTACTGGTCCGGTGTGTGGAACTAATGTATGAAGTATACAAATGACGAGACTAACGTGCATAGGGATTCTACGATCCGCTCAACGACAAGCTACTCGAGCCGAATCTAACGGGAATTTCATACTCATTTGATGATGATGGGAATTATGAGTCCGCATACTATCGCGCAATCTCAAATCGTCAGTACTCATGGATATATAGATCCTGACGTTGTATTAATATTGAACAGCGGCCGACCCATCATGCCCGGGAGGGATCTTGCAATGGCAACATGGGTCTTATGCGGTGTTCGGCAACGGAACACTGATATTAACGCCAATTGCCGTCGACGGTCGTCAGCTACTGTCCAACCCCTGCCAGAATCAGGTAGGCCAGTACACACGATTTAATACCACCGAGGAGTTCAAGGTACGTCTCTCTTTGGTTTTCTCTCCGCCGGCCCATTCTGACAGCACACAGGAATTCTCCGTGTATATCGACAAGTTCAATCGCATTAGACGCCTCGATTTGACTAGGGTTGATGGCTCACTTCTCCACCCCATGTTCCTCGCCTACCAGCCACCAAAGATGCTCCCTACCACGACATTGAACCCCACACCAACAGGGCACAAGCGAAAGCGAGAACTGTCATCAAAGTCCGGATTACAGCTAATCGCTAGAGAACAGTTGATCGATCCAGACCGATGGTGGTGGTTGGGAGTTCTGATGACATCTCTCGGAGGAGTAGCTTTCTTCTGCTCATGAACTTTTCGGGCTGGCGTTGAATAGGCGTTGGCAATTTGTTCGTTCTGTGAATTATAAATGAGATTTGAATGCCCTTAACTGAGGCTATTGTGACACTAATATACAATCTGGTAAAATGTAAGCTCAAGAGAGCGCGTTCTTCACCTCGGTAGCAACTTCCTTGCGGTCAACTGGCTTGCCGTCTAGAGGGCCTCCCGCAGCAAAGAGAGCTTTGAGGACGGTTCCTTGGTTGGGCTTCGTATTGGCATCGATCATAGCAGCGATCTGATTGATGACGACTTCCTTGATTTCGGCGATGGGGAGGGTCTTGACCTGACTAGCATATTCCTCCAATACCGCAACCTGTGCATCCTCTTTCTCCTTCAGATCTGGACGTTCAGCGACATCAAACTCCTTTGCCGCATCTTTGGAAGCATTCAGGCGTTTGCGGATAAGTGACAAGAGCTGAATGTCTGTCTGAATCGGCGAGGCGGTTTTGGCGGCGTTGTTGGTCTCGGAGATCAAAGCACGAAGTACATTCAGTCTGATAATTGATAATAAGCTTGCCGAACCACCAAAACATTTGGGGGTGGGAAGGATCTCTACCTCGTGGTATCTTTGGCTCTCATGGCAGTTTTCAGATCAGTCCGCAAAGTAGCCATCAAGGGTGGCAGGGCCGGACTGGTGGAATTCCACCGTACCAGACGAGCTGGTAGGCGTGAGGAAAAACGGAAGGGTTGAAACATTTTGATTGACAGTTTAGACAATAAGAAATAAGCTCAATTGAGGGATCAATGGGAATGGGGGGACAATCAACAATCAATACCGTAAAGGCGGAAGATCCCAATTGGTCTGTGCGCTCCCAGGTGTTGACTCTCTCTTTTCGCAAAGACCTTGAATAATCCAATCTCCTCCCAAGACCTTCTCTCATCGTCATTCCCCCACAATTTGCTTTCTTTTTCTCGTCCGACCTACACTGCAGCTTCTTTGTGATTTCTAGCGGGGGATCGTCCCTTTCTCCCTCCTTAAAACCGCCGCCATGTCGTATCCAACTCTTCCAACAAATCTCCCTCCGGCGACGCCGCAAAAACCCCTTCCTGGAGCTTACTTTCAGACCCCGGCGCCAGCTACAGCACGGCCTCTTCCCAGCAAGTCGCCATTGCAGACGGAACCCCAGACTCCCATGCCAAAGCTCCCTCCAGCGGCCTCGAAGACCCAAAATCAAACAGTGAGCACCGAGGAACGCGGGGCGCGAACGATCAACAGCAGCTTGCAAAGCGAATCGCGTTATCCAGACCTTGACAGCTATTTATCTCGTAAGGTTTCCCAACTAAGTGTGTCCGAAGCAACACTGACCAAAAAAAAAAAAAACAAGAGGGCTCCTCGTCTGAGTACAACATCCCCGTATCTCAATCATGGGCACCATTTCAAAAAGTCAAAATGTACGATATCCCCGACCAGATTTTCGATCAATACAACCGCGCACAAGTATCGACCAGCATGGGTCTGTTTGCCGAGTTAAACCACGCGTGGGTCGCAATTGACAATGCATTGTACATTTGGGATTTCACACACCCTAACCCGCAATTGGTGGGATTCGAGGAACAGCCTAACAGCATCAATGCTGTCAAGTTGACTAAACCGCGCCCGGGAGTTTTCTTGCCTGCGATCACTCATTTGCTGGTCATTGCGACGACTGCGGACATCATTCTGCTGGGGATGGGCTATGAGAACACGCCTAGCGGAGGTCGACAGGTTTCTCTGTATCACACGGGGATGTCGGTAGCAGTCCGTGGCTTGGATATAAATGTTTTCGCAGCATCGGCATCCACTGGACGCATTTTCTTTGGAGGATCGTCTGACACCGATGTGCACGAGGTCACTTACCAACAGGAGGAAAGGTGGTTCCAGGGCCGCTGTGGCAGAGTAAATCATACCAGCTCACGCCTATCGGCTTTCAGGCCCTCTATGAGCCTAACAAACCTTGCACAAAGTGCTGCCGAGTATGTAGTGCAGATGGCACTCGACGACAGCCGGAACTTGCTCTACACACTCTCCTCTGCGTCTACAATTCGCGTATTCCACATGGGACCTGAGGGCACTTTGACACTTGCAATCACCAAACGCGCTCTGGACATCTACTCTAACATTGGGCACATCATCACCTCAAACGAGACCCTCAACCCCAGAGTCAAGATTGTCTCTATCAGTCCAGTGCCAGCCACAGAAGCGTCGCGGTATCATTTAGTTGCAACGACGGCGACAGGCTATCGGATCTATCTCAGCGCCACTGGTTCAAACAGTTGGGCGCCTGCGTCGACCTACACCAGCCCTCCCACAAGCATGCAGGCACTGCATGTCAAGACACCGCCAGTCGATATCTCCCCCGGCGTGAGCGGGGTGGCATCTTCCATCTCGCTTGTTTCACCTCTTGGTGCGGTTTCCCCTTCTGCTGGTCAGATTAACACACTTTCACCCACTCGTCTTGCCGAGCGATATTCCCCAGGCTATTTCTTCTGTTTTACTACTAAGGATGCACAGCAAAAGATTGATACCCTTTTCATCTCCACCCCTGACTCTGGTCGGGTCGCACAGTACCAGGAAAGCTCGGTCAGTGGCAAAGCTGCTGAGTCGGCGATCATCCTGGACCTGGGAGGCAAGGCTGAGGATATTGGTCTTGTTTCGGCACCTTCACCTGTGACCAACGAGCTGGCCGTTCAATTCGACCACCCGGCTGCTGAGATCGCGATCTTGACTAATGGTGGAGTTCATATCATTCGTCGGCGTCGTCTCGTGGATATCTTCGCGGCTTTGCTCCGCAGCAGCGGCAATCCTCATGAGGGATTGAGCGGCGAAATCCAAAATTTCCTTAGAACATATGGACGGAGCGAAATGCTGGCGACTGCTCTGGCGGTAGCTTGTGGCCAGGGTATGGAGATTTCGCCTGATCAAAGACTGACCCGAATCACCGATCCGGACATCCTGGCGGCAGCACGCCAGGCCTTCATCACTCAAGGTGGTCGGGCCCATCTGAATGAAAATGCTATTGCAGATGGCTCAACATCTGTTCTAGACGCAGTGCAGCCCTCTCCCCGACACACAGGTATTGCACTATACATCGCCCGTCTGCTGCGTTCTATCTGGAAAGAAAGAATTGCCAAGGTGGGCAATGGACCTAATGGCGCACAATCCGTTTCCGCGTCCGTGAGTTCCAGTAAACTGCAGACTGTCCAACATGATCTCTCCTCACTGGCGGAGTTCTTCAAGGTGAATAAGACCTTTATCGATGGACTCAACGGTCCCGACGCTCTTGCCCGGGTAAACAGCAAGCAAGAAGAAGTGGCGCTGCAAGCCGAGCACCGCGCATTACACTCACTCGTTCAGTTGGTGTCACACACGATTGAAGGTATCTCATTTATACTCGTTCTATTTGATGAGCGGGTTGATGAGATTGTGGCGACTTTGCCAGCTGAATCGAAGGCAAAGTTCCTCAGCCTCACCTTTGAGGAACTCTTTAGCTCCAGCAAGGGGCATGACATTGCCAAGGAGCTTGTGAAGGGCATTGTTAACCGCAACATCGCCAAGGGCTCCAACGTCGAGACCGTGGCGGATGCACTTCGACGACGATGTGGCAGTTTCTGCAGTACAGAGGATGTGGTGATTTTCAAGGCACAAGAGATGCTGAAGCGTGCGACTGAGGCCGGTGCCAATACAGAGTTGGGCCGCAACTTGCTCAACGAGAGTCTGCATCTCTTCCAGCAGGTGGCCGAATACCTACCTATGGATTATCTGGTTTCGGCTGTGGACAATTTCATTGTCAACCAGTTCTTTGCAGGTATGTTGTGTGATCCTGGACTTTTGTTATCTCATACTAATTGGGGTTTTTTTTCTTTTCTTCTTCCAGGTGCCATTCAGCTTGCCCTCAACGTCGCTGCTAGGTCCGACAAGTCAAACCTTGCCTATTCCTGGATCATGGATCAGCGTCCCGAACAGGTGCTTATCCCCCTTATTCCCTTTGGATCCCAGCGCCAGCTCACGCTCACAACTACTCAGGACCCCCGCAAGGAATACTTCTATTTCCGCAAGCAGTGCTACGATCTCATCTTCAAAGTCGTGCTTGCGGTTGACAAATTGGCTGCATCCGATCCCGGTCTGATTGATGGCCAGCTGACCACTATTGCCAAACGCCAGAACGAGGCCTATGGCGTGATCTCCGATTCCACTGATGAGGTGTTCCTGACGAGCTTGTACGACTGGTACCTTGAGCAGGGGTGGAACGATCGGTTACTGCAGACTCAGTCCCCATTCGTGGTCACCTACCTCCAGCGCAAGTCGAACGACGATCTAGGCCATGCCGATCTACTCTGGCGTTTCTATGCCCAGTCTCAACGATTCTTTGAGACTGCCCAGGTTCAGTTCCATCTGGCCAATAGTGCTTTCGTGTTGCCCTTGAGTCGTCGTATTGAGTACCTTGGTCAAGCCCGCGCCAATGCTTCGATTTTCACACCGGACGTTGGGCGTCAGTCAAGGCAGCGACTGCTGCAAGAGATTTCGAATCTGATCGATGTGGCCAATATTCAGGATGACCTACTTCAAAGACTCAAGGATGACGAGCGGATTCTTCCCGAGCGGAAACCCGAGATTCTGCGTGAGGTCGATGGACCGGTGATGGATATTAGTACAGTAAGTGCTAAATTTCCCCTACGAATCAGATTCAAATCGTGAGACTAACATTGTTCTAGCTATTCAATAAATACGCCGACTCCGCCAGTTACCATGACATCTGTCTCCAAATCTTCTATCAAGCCGACCATCGCAATGCGGCCGACGTCAAGTCAACTTGGCAACACCTGATCCAGGGGGTCCATGACGCCACCGTTCAACACGGCTCACCGCAACCTTACGAAGCTGTGATCGACAAGGTCCGCAGCCTCGGCAGTCGCCTGCGGATGTCCGAGACCATTTTCCCCATTCGCGAGCTTGTCCCCATGCTGGAGCGGTATGCATTGGAGTTCCAACGC